CGTGAATGCTCAGATTTATAGAGATGACATCCTTGATGTGTATGTGCGCTCATATGCCGGGGCAACAGGTGATTCTTTCCTGTTACAGGATGACAAAACAAGACCACACAGGGCTCGCATCGTAGATGATTATCTTCAACAGGAAACAATTATGCGCATGGAGTGGCCAGCTCGATCCCCGGACTTGAATCCTATCGAGCACGTTTGAGATACTTTAGAGAGACGTCTAGCTGCTCTCAATCCGCCTCCTCAGACCCTTGTCGCGCTTGCAACTGCTTTGCAAGAGCAATCAATGGCTCTCGCTTCCTATGGAACTGATAGACTGCATAATTGAAAGTATCACACATCGCTGTATGTGCTGTATTGCTTCTAGAGGCGATTATATTCCCTATTGAAGGTACTTTTCCTATAGCAAACTGACACCTTCAATTTGTCCATTTTATACATGTGCTAATTTCTATACTACCATATTTGTCTGGTAATTTCTTTTTATGTAATATGATATCTTACTTGTATATTGTAGGTAAGTTTGATTAAATTCTACATGTAACTTTTTCAGTAATCGTGATTTTTGTGATTTTTACTTAATTTATGATAACCAGTGTAATTTGCTAAGTATTTCATCGTAGTATAAAAGGATGAACTCCCATATAAAAAGGACAAACAACTTAAAATCAAACCCAAGTATGACTTTATGTGAGATACACAAAGTAGTACCTACAAAAGAAAAACGATAAAAAAGTACAGATGATGTGTTTTATAATTCAATTTATGTTAAACACAAAAAGTTACTCTCGGTTAAATTAGATACCCGAACATGCTACTTATAAATTTAGGTACCTGGCGGTGCGCATGGTTTCGAACTTATATTCATATAACTCGATACGTTACTTATATTCAAAAAAGAAGGGGGGGAAGGAGCTTTTAAGAAATGTTTTGGCTTCCTATAGTTTCTAGATTTCCTTAAATTCTGTAATGATATTGAAAATTAAATTTCAAATTTGGATTCGGCAGCGTGAAAAAACCAATACAATTATAGGAATGGGAAGAAAACATTTTAAAATACAGGACAATAAAATTATAAAATTTCTAAATCTTCTAAAGTACTGGTTTAAAATTAAATAAATACAATTTTTGAAGTAAAATAGTTTCAATAATTGAAGTGTCTTAAAATTTCATGATGATTAGCAATTTGATCAATTTTCTAAAATTTCCATTTGAAATGCCGACAAATTCGATTTAGTATTTCTTTTTTTTTAGTCTTATAATATAACCGAAAATAGATATAAAACAGAAAATGAAATAAAGAATACCCAGCGCTTGTTTAAAATTCGGATGCGCAAAAATTGTTTCAATTCTCATTTAATTTAGTCTCCAAATTACATACCTCGCAAATTAAATCCCAATTTATTGCAACAATCGTAACAATTCGAGACATTTTAGGGCATATTTAGGAGGAAATCGTAAGAATTTTTTTTCTGCTTTTAGGACATCTTCCTATCAGGTTTTCGGTGATAATAGCAATTAAATAAATGCTTCAAATTTTCAAATAAATATCACAGTGAAAGAAGAAGTATCACGCCGCCCAGATGGAGAAGTAGTTAGTGACTCTGACTGCTATACCAAAAGCCTCGGGTTCGAATCCCGGAGAAGGCATGGATGTAACTTGTCCGTTCCTTCATAGGAGGCTATGGTTTATGGATTAATGTAATATAGAACCGATGCATTTTTTTTTCTCCAAAAACACTTCACAGTTCTGGAATTTTCTGAACAAAAGTACTCTTACAGTTCCTTTTTCAATGATCTATTGTAGTGGCGTATGCCATCCGAGTAGGTAGAAACGATTTCTATAAGCTCTCGTGGTCACCGTGCTCCCCGGAATGGTGACCATGGGAATCCTGTGCACCGTCGAGTGTAAAGACAGCGTTCAAATAAAAAGCATTCATAAATAATAGCGTTCATCTCCCTTGGAGAGGTATCCCATCGGTGGGTGGTAAGTGAAACTTTCAAAATTCCTGTCCGAAGATCTGTAGATGCAAACCCACCTGCCGCTTAATGCGCAGATAAACGGGTAAGCACGATGCAGCATATATGATAAATTTTGTATTATGTTCCTAAAAATAGAGAAATATTTGTGAGGGGCATTTTAGAAGCAAATGACCTGTATTCACATTAAGAAAGCTTTACAAATGCGCATGTAGCTAGCGAATTTGTCGAGATTCGAACCCGAGCTCACCCATTTTGCCGCTAAGGGGAGGACCTAACTAACAGTGTTTCGCAGCTGTATCCATTCGGCCTAATACTTTCTTAAGATGTGTTTGCCGCCCAAAGGTTATAGTGATTAACTACGCTGACTGTTGTACCGAAGGCCCACGTTTCGAATCTCGAATGGAGGTTTGTAGATGTATAGTTTCTGTGCGGCATGGGGGCTCTCTATATATGGGGCGAGTCTAAAATCATCTCGAGAAGTTGTTGGTAGGGAAGGAGGAGTGGGAGACCCTCGGATCCGTTACGTTACCTGGAGTGCTTTTGAATTTTGTGGGTTTGTTCTGATGTTACTGTCAGACATAATCTTATATATATACGGCTTAAGTGTTCGTCGCCGATAGTTTATTGGTTGCTTGCGTAACTGTAAATAGTTTTATTCCCCGTGCAGTGAAGCGCGTGACGAATATTATGAGAAAGCTAAACCGTAAAAATTAAAAATACAAGAGCACATGCATTTAACATTTAATAAATAAATTTAACATCTATATATAATAGAATTCGGAACTATGCAACCGGCAAAAACCGGCAATGATGAAAAAACAAATTAAATAAATAAATATCTTTATTATATGCGGCTTAAGTGTCTGTTTGTCGCCGATAGTTTATTGGTTGCTTGCGTAACTGTACTAGCCAATGGACTGAAGTTGCAACGGCACAGGGTTGCCGTTTCAATCGAGACGTAGACAATTTCCTGTAAAACTTGCCTTTGCTATGACCATCCATAAGTCTCAGGTCCAAACGCTTAAGCGTGTTGGCATTTTTTTTACCTGAGCCTCCATTTAGACACGGTCAACTTTATGTTGCCTGTTCAAGAGTTCGTGAAAGAACGGACGTAAAATTAAAAATAATGGATGGTCCTCTGCAAGGCGAGCTTAAAAATGATGGAAAGATCTACGCAAGAAATGTTGTGTACAAAGATATCCTTGACAAGTGAATTAACATTTTATTTTTTTAAAGCAATTAAGGAAGTGGAAGGGGCGTCCTCGCCGCCTGCCCTGGGTAATTCAGTTCGAATTAGCAGACTCCTTTGCACAAATCATTTTAATTACAATTTATAATATCTAGAACAGCGGTCATTTCGTATGACCCCGGGCTTTTTAGTGTTGAGATAAGTCACAACAAAGATGTGTTTAGTATGTATCTTTTGTTTAAAGAGGTTTATTAGAAACATTATTTTTCTCCGATTCTTTTTATATCCATTTTGTTACCTTTTTCTTCATTATGTGTTTCAGATTTTTAAAAGGATAAAAGTCTACCAGTGAATTAGATCAAACATTATATATTTTCAAAATGTTAACTCAATTAATTATTCCTTACTAAATTCACATCCTAGATTAGAAGAACCTAGCACCAAAAATCTTTCCTAAACTTTGCCAGTTTGCAATGTCAGGCATATAAGCTGATCTGATTCCTAATATCTCATTTAAAATGACGCAACAGTCTACATGTATAACACTAATGAATTCCAAGAAGATGCAACTGAGAAAGAAAACCATCTTTAATTTACTACAATATAGTAGAGAGGTATATAACATAGGAAGTAAATGCACACCTAGAAATATATACGATACTGAACGAAAGAACAATAATAAGGGGTAAAGATAATAACAATAATAAGGGATATAAAGAACAAAAATAAGGGGATTCAATTCTGCCACTGCCTTTGTATCTCGTCGAGGTCTACAAAGATAAGTAAATTTTGAGAACTGACTAGTTCTGTTACAAAAAAGAATCAATAATAGAATAGCAGAAGTTCAAAACGCTCTTGTTTATTATGGTGGAGTTTGTACATTCTACACTGTCAAAGAATGCAGAGTAAGTTATGCAGCTAACATTTAAGAATTTTGAGAAAAAAAAAAAAAAAAAAAAGATGTATGATTGTATGACTTAAAAAGATTTCATTATATTTGCATTATTAAATGAAGGTACCAGGAAATTCAGAATTTTGCAGTATGTCCTTAATTTCGCTAAATATCTGATATACCGATGTTAGTGGGTGTAAATTTGAGAATCCACACATGTATGCACCAACTAAACGAAAACTTAAAAAATAAAATACTCGAATTTATAAATTAAAATAAAACATACTATAACACAAACGTTACATATTTAACAAAGTAATTTAAAGTCTAACAAATGTTTGGTTGTTTTAAAGCAATATCTTAAAATTTTCCTTCCTAAACTTATTTTGTTATCTTACTTTTAAATGCATAACTTCTTGGTTCGTGAATATAAGTTTCGTTGTCCCTAATCTAGGATATCTGCAAATTGCCGTCGTATTTACATGTTGATGAAGAACATTATTTAATAACATGTTAGCTTCAAAGAATGTTCTATACAGAATGGTTATTACTGCATAAGCACTTAACCTGATGTTCCATTACAGACGTTACATTCGTCTATTACGCAAATCCCGGGAAGACATCTTTTATTTTACTTTTAATATCTTAAAATATTATTATCTATTTTAATTTGGATTTTTCCCTTGTCCTTTTGCGATACACTGAGGAACAGCATCCTAAATTCTATTTATATTAAACACCGCCAAATTAACCTAACTGCTCCGTGCCTATTCAAAGAATCCAAAATATTTTTATTTTCAATAATTTGCTGTTAGAGAGCGAGCATTCACAATCGAAAAAATAAAACGATATCCCGGTACGCGTAATTGTACGCGCAGACGATTAATATGAACAGGATTAAATTTTATCTGTAAGAGAAGTTAACGAACATAAAATAATAAAAATATTCAAGGAGACCTCTTAAAGTGAGAGTTTTCTATATGGTTTAAAGAGAAAGGTTGCAGGTTGCGTCTAAAATTAAATATATACATTTGTCAGTTTTGAATATATATATATATGCGCAAGGAAGCTAAACTCTGAAATGCATTCAGAATACTGAATACAACAGGAAAAAGAAAAATTAACTACTAATTTAGACATTTTATGAACCTTTAGAGAAATTTGGCGATGTTTCCTAGTAGCAATGACTGTCATTTATGCATCCTACCTGGTAAAGAAAATGAATGCGTTAAACTTATCCGTTACAATAATCAAATTTATAAGTTCACAATAAAAAACAGTGACATTTTACAAAAGTAAGTATAATGAAGTGTTATAGTATAGTATGTTTCTACTTTTCTCTCTATATATACTATAGTAATAATTTCATTTCAGATTTCTTACAGAACATGGTATCATACGTCTGCAAATGGAATTACAGGTAAACTTGCAATAAAAATTTAGAAATCAGTATGAAAAATATTAATTCTAAGAAACAGTAAATAACAATAAATATCTATATACAAATCTAATACTTCTAATAAATATTATATACTACTAAATCTAGTAGTATATAATATTTATTAGAGGTATTAGATTTGTCTCAAACTGAAATTAATATCTGAAAAGAGGCAGACTGTGATTTAAAATAATATTTAAATTAAAATCTTATATTTAATACACAGTATCTTACAAATGCTATTGGAATCGTCTTTTATACAAGTAAACCAATTAAATATTTATAACATTTGCATTTGATATTTAATTCTGTAAGTACAATTCATCAAACAGTGTATGAATTAAAATCGTTCTTGGGTTTCCTTCAAGTTTTAAACTGACTATCCTAATCAAAATTAGCTTTTGCTAGCAAATATAAATTTATACAAATATTCAAAATTTTTATTTCTTGCAGATTTTGATAAAAAATTTGAAGATTTCTGCCCTTTTACCAATGAAAAATTTATTGCTTGGCTTACTGCCCACATACTAGCAGAAGATCGAGTCATTATTTCAAAAGTTGTTTCTGAATACCTTTTATGATTACCAAATGTTCTGCTGCAAATTAGGAAACACTCAAGCCTCAGTTATTTCAATATTTATGAAGACACTATATGACTGGATAGTTTTGGGCTAAGTATTCCTTCATTCTGTATTCTGTGAAGGTTTAGACAATGTTTTATAACAGTTTTCTAATAGCTCTTTCTTACAAGATGCAAATGAAGAATTAATATTTGAATTTCTAAGTAGGCATGCTTTCTTAAAGCATCTATAATTAAAAAATTGGACTTATGTATTACTCCCATTAACCCTTGGCAGAAATTTCAACAATGGTCACCAGTCATTACTGTGGAATTCTATCATCCATAATTGGAGCTAAATTACACTATTTGATCAGTCGACTGCATAATACATAAATACAAAATAAATAAATAAATAACACAAATCTTAAGAACTTTTATTGAAAAACATTGGTAATAATTTTTAGATACCTTGCCATAAAATAATGTCATAAATTTACTTACTATATTTATTGCAAATGATTTTAATTGCTGTGTGGGTAAGTGTTTGAAAACTTTTGCGATATGATTTTATCCATTAAAAGAGAAGAAGATATTAATTTTAAAATTTGATATTTCATTTTTTGAAAAAACATGTCTAATATAAAAAGACCATGTATAAATTCATATTTCAAAGAAAACTACTTTTATTTACTTTTATGCATTTAAAAATTTTTACATTGTTTTCAGAACCTAAAAAGAGTCCGACCATTTTCTTGGGATAATATATATTTTGACAAACTCTTTGTAGTTACAGTTAGGTAGATAATGTGAATCCATGATAAATTACAGAACTTTAAATTTTATGTTAATAATAATAATAAAAAAAATTGAAAGCTTTCTACTCATTTTATTCTAGGATATTATTCTTCAAGTATTGTCTATGAGAACAAAAAACTCTGGAAAGATAAAAATACATGCATCCTTATTTTCAGCAATAATTGGTATCCTTTTTTTACAGAGTAAATTCTTATTTACTAAAACTATTTTCAAACTGATTGATTTTTTAAGCCGATATTCTTATTTTATTTTATTTTATTTTTTTACATAATACGTAACATTGAATCAGAGATACTTTTGAATTTCTTTGACAAAAATCTAAATTTTTACCCTTGGCATATGGCTAAAAAAGTATGTTTCAAGAGTAAAAGAAATATTTACTATGCAGCAAATCAACAATTTGTGCTAACAGTAGTTGGAAAGGAAAATGCACAGAATAGTTCAGGTATTGTTATCTGATAAATTTGATTAAACCATGTACTCCAATACATATCTGTTATATTATAATATTAAATATAGCAATAAACAATTTTAAATACATTAATTTATCTGTATAAATAATTTACAGATAATTAATTATAAAAATATAGAGAGAAAATATGACTTTATAAAAAACTTTAATCATAAATATCATCCAAATATGGTTTATTTTTAAAACATTTTTGGTCAATACTTTAAGCTTTAGAAAGATATTCTGTATTCATATCTGATAAAAAGATATTCTGTATTTAAGCATATATGTATTGTCCAGAAATAATTAAATTTTAATACAAATTCATGTTTTGAATCAGATTTTAATCTTTACAGTAAGCATATGTACTAATTGCAGTAAGCATACATACTGATTAAAAAATGACAAATTTTAAATATTTAATGTATTTCCTTTCTCATGATTCTAGATCCATATTAATAGTTTTTGCTTTGTTGATTGTAATAAATAAACTTAGAATGTATTAGCTGTATTTTAGGTTTTAAGCAATACAAAATTTAAAATACTCCCAGTAATGTACTGGGAAACTGTATTACTCCCTGTATTACTTGCACTTTTCCCAGTAATATAACAACCAACTTGGTAAAATGTATATATAGTTAAATTGATATCAAAATTTTACTTAGTATTAAGATTTCAATAAAAATTGTATAAAATACTATATAACTGCTTTAAAATTATAACACTGATTTGCTATACATAGTTTATATTATTTTTCCATGCTTGTATGCAAATTATCTCAAAGGTAAGTGTTTATTTCTTCTTCTGGCTCAAAATAGTCATAAACTGTGCTTTATATCTGAGAAACAATTCCAGAGTAAATGAAATTTGAGTCAAAATTTTAATTTTAATCCATATAATCTATCTAATGAAATAAAATAACTAAAATGCCATTTATCTTTCAACTTACAAAATATTGCGAACAAAATACATAGAAGTTGGCAAATAGTATCTAATACACAAAGTTTTTACTATAAAAAGTACATATAATAAAGTAAACTAAAAGAAGCAGAATTAAGCAACATTAGGAAAAAATTCAAAAGTTAATATACCAGTAATTTGTTTGATAAAGCATATTTATACTGATTTTAGCAATTGAAAAGATTATAATTAATTATCATGGATCAAAATGGGAAAATGCTATGCTTAGCTTGAAACAAGGACATAAATTTAAAAGAATATTTTATGCTAACAAACCTTATCTGCAGCAGCTTTGTAAAATTTCAAAAAAGGATAAGTTATCTCCTCTCCCCCCAAAAAAATAGTAAAAGGAATGAAACTCAGATGAAATACAAATGTACAGTCATAAAAATAAAACAAAATTACAATATATGCATACCAACCTACGACACTCAAAAATCAGACTTTTTTAAGAAGTCGGGAGAATTTTCACAACAAAATGTATAGAAAGAAAATATTTTTTTAATGATCAATTGAACTTTCAATAGTAACTAATTAAAATCTGAAAGTTCAGTTACTAATTCTTGAATGCAAACAGTATTGTTTGCACCTTTTAATAGAAAAATAATACTTTAATTATTTTTTATACACATCACAAAAACAGTGGTAGATTTGTTTCATTAGGAAAGAAGCTTTGTAATTTTCTTCAGAACAAGCCATGGTGGGCTACTTATAAAAGTTTTTCTAATGTGTCATATTACTAATATTGGATGTAAATTTAGTCCTTGTTTTAGTAACATCATTAAAAATACTCTCACACTCTGCATTACTATGGAGAATTGTCAAGATGGTCAGTATTATTCTAGACAGTTCACTGTACTTTAAAATAACATCAGCTTTTTTTTTTTTTTTTTTTCCAAGTTTTCCAATTAAACTCCATTAGGTGTCAATTCTTGCTGGTTATATAACATTATTTAAGTTTTCTAATTGCAAACTACAAAACTGTGACTGCAGTTCATCAGTTGCACCATGAATTCCATTGTCTTTCAAAACTAAATAAAGCAAAACTGGATATGTATTCAAAAAGTAACTTATATCTGAAAAAGATGCATTTGCTAGAGGAGAAACATTCTCAACTTTAGCATGTAAAGTCACTTCATTATTAACTGAAAATTTATGTGGTATGTAATCACATACTCAACAGAAATAGATTCTAATATGGAGATAAAACTTATTTTTATCTTCCTCTGAAAGTTCTTTCATTACTTTGTTAGTTGTATCAACTATTATCTATTCTTCATTTTCCTTCCGATTTCATATTTTATCGTAAATCACGATATACAGAATTAGAAGACAAAACAAAAGTTGTTTTCATAAATTGATAAAATGTCTTAGAACAGATCACAAATTATTAATTGAAAAAAATGAATTAATGAAATTCTGCAGTGTAGAATTGTGTTAAGAACTTCATATGATGGCAAAATGGAGCATACAAAAAAGCTTTGTTAAAGTATGAAGATAAACAGATAAATATTTGTTCGTCACAAGATAAACTTACAGTAATCAGAAAATAATTCCCTTGGCAGTAATTTTCTAATGATTCAGAATTTAGATTAGTACATCAACACAAGATTTAGTTAAAACTATGCTTAATCTTATATTATTTTCACATAAATTTTAGTGAAACAGAACAGCAATTAGGACATCTGTCTGTCCTCATATATATATAAGTTTTAGTACATTAGTAATAGAAATCCTGATTATTCTATCCAAGAAAAAAGGTGTCAAATTTTAAAAATGCCAAGTTAAGCTTTTTTGTACAGGAAATTAAAACTTGTTAAAACAATAGCATAATAATTAAAATAAATATAATAGTGGCAATGAAAAAATTAACATATGAAGCAATGCAAAATGAATAAAATGATAAAATCAAAATATTAATCTCCCCAATTTTAATTTTCAAATGGAACTTGTCAAGGGGTAAATATTTGAAACACCAAACTGGTTTGATTAATGAGTGTTAAATAACATATTTCAATCCTCTGGACAATGCGAGACCATAAGCTGTTTTAAATACATTTTCCTTTTTGAAAACTAAGATTACAGAGAGTCTCATATTTGGCTCCAAACTTCCTCTGCATGCCATTCGTACTCAGAAAGAAAAACATGCAGTAAAATTAGAAATAAAAATAAAAAACGTTTGGACATATAATACTCAAAATCATATAAATAAACAGCAAATTACAGTGAGGAGAAAGAAAAATTGATAAAACTGTAATAAAAAACTCTGGAAAACTTCAAAAACGTAATTCATTTCAAGACAATTAACATTTATAAACTCATTCCTTACATTTTTTCGTAACTTTACTTCCTAATTTTTTTTCAAGTTTTAATGTAAATATTTTGTTAAAAATTCATATTGTATAATTTAAAAGCGACATTTGTCTAATTTTAAAGTTTGCATAGTTCTTTTATACATGCACAAATACAATAACACTTATTTCATTGTATATTTTTTTAAGTACAAAACTACAAAAAATGTACAAGGTCTTTTATTTTTTAATTGCTAAAGCATTACATGTTAGTAGTATCTTAAACAAAATTTTAGCAAAAAATATAACATATGTATTTTTCCCCTAATTCTGCATATATAATAAAATGCAATAATTTATAAATACATATAACAGCATTATCAGATGCCACAGACAGTGAGATAGTTGCTGAATCAGAAGAAAGATGTCATACAACTTTGAAAACAGGAGATAATAATATTTCTATGAAAAGAACACTTTCTGCAGAAAATAACTGGAAAGACACTTTTCAAAAATCTGAGGTAATATCTTTTTGCGTTTATCTGTTTTTATTGATTAATTATCAGACTATGAGATCACTGTATTATTTTCCCCCATTTAGGAAAGTTAAGCTAAAAATGATCTAAAAACTAATCCCACTTCTTTTTTAATTCCTTGTAAAGTAAAGGAAGTACTGCAATCATGAAACATTTTGGGTATCATATTCAACAAAAATTACCCATTTTTCCTGCTCTCAAATCCATTTGAATGATGTTTTTGTGCAACATATGTACATATGGACACAATAAAAAACTCTCTTTTTCAAAATGGATTGTAAAATGTATTCAAAATGGATTTAGAAAAGATTTTTTTCGTGCCTTCTGTACATTCATACGTACAAATGCATCTCACATTACTCAAAAACAAATAGCCATAGAAGATTAAAATTTTGTATATGAGACTATTATAATATGTAGTTGTGCACCTCCCTTTATTGTTGCAATTGGCTTCACCAAACATATATAAATGTATATATATTGCCACTCTGTTACCCAGCTTGATGAGCTCAGTTTTTTATTCTTCAATGTTACTAAATTGTGTACCTTTTGCTATAAAAATGATTGAATTTTGTTGTTGTTATGTTCCGGTTAAGGTTTTTATGCCTTTAAAGAATCTGCATGCAATATTTGTAGAAATATCAACAATTTTCAGAGTTTAAAGTGATGGTAATCTTAATAAGGCCTCCATTTGTTTACATCTGAAATTCTTAGCAGAGTACTGGTGCACAAATTTCAGTGTCTTTTTGTGCTCAGTGTGACCAAAAGATAATTTTTTATTTTATGCACTAAAAATTTTGTCTTCCTGCCTGCTGGCCAAATTGCTTGTTTTTGCCCAGAAACTTTATTTTTAATTGCAAAAAATGTTTAACTGTTTTTGTTGTTTTAGGTTTTTATGCATTTTATAATTTTTAATGAAGATTGAGTTTTTATGTATTTTTGTCTTGCCACGAAGTTAGAACTGAATTGGTTGAATTAAAAATATATCTCTAATGAAATTCAAGGAAATAAGTTTAAATGAAAAGCAGGAAAAAATGTGTTTAATTTGATAGGCCATATAAGGTCATCTGGTGCCCGAATATATGGAGGAATGAAAGGAGGATGATTCAAGCTTTGGTCTCTAAAGTGGGTGTTTCTTTTTTACATCCAGATCATCCTTGACAGCACTTTAATAGTGTTTCCACAAGCCAAAAAGGTGGGGGTCACTTCCACATAAAAAGAACATTCATTATTAGATGGATAATAGCAGTTTTGTATAGTTTAGTGGCATTTACGTAAAAGTCACATATTTGTTTTTTTCGATAACTTGCAAAAGCTATATTGATTTGGAATTTGTTTTATAAAATTCGAAAGCTACTGGAATACAAGAATATGAAAAATAACTTAGGCACCTTTGAAATGTCAAAATATCGCAAAAATATAAAACACTTTAAACCTTAATTTCCTTATAACTAACTGGTATAAGCATAAAAAATTTTATACCTCTTTCAATAGCCTTGATACAGTATTCACTACCTTAATTTTATGTTCCAAATATCAAAATGTTTTAAATATCAAAATGTTAAGTACATTTTTGTCATCCACATAATATTGTAACAGGTACTTTTTAAAAATTTTTAGGGGAAAGAATTATTAATTGCTCATTTTAAACTCATCATTTTATTTTTATACTAAAATGAAAAATAATAATTTTGGGCTTACATATCTTAAATGAAAATTGAAATTACCCCGAAATCCTGTAATCCTCATTAAAATTAATAAATATATAGACAGATGTGCTAATAAGTCAACTTTCCTTCATTTGTAATCCAAATTTGAGTAAAATTGTATACAGAAACATTTGCCAATTCGGCAGAAGTACCATGTGTGGTCAAGATGATGTGATCATGTGAATGTGACACATCATCGAGACAGCATGAATGCATGCAATTTTTATTCAGTTTATATTTCTTATGTAACTTTGATATATGCTAATATTACAAGTAAAGTAATGTAATTTTACATTACTTTTCTTGAAAAATATAGTTAATGCAATTGAAATTAAATATATGCACGTGCCAAAAATGAAAAATATTAAATATACACGGGTCTTTATGCATATCCTTGCAAAAAGCCTATATCTACCTTTAACAAAATACGTAAATATTTATTAAATTATTTATAAATGTATTTGGAAATGAAGGTTTAGTTTGGATTTTATGAGATTATGGGAAAGCCTTGAGGGCTATCTGCTGAAGAAGAGGGATGCCTTTATGAAGGACTTTCTAAGAGTAACTGGTTCGTATATGTGTTATACATGGGGAAAACTACGAAAGCACTCATACAACCCGCCTGTTCGCAGGATTCAAACCTTGGACTGAACTACCAATATTCGGCGACTTTTTCCGCTCAGACACTGGTGAACCTGGAAATGAAGGATTTATTCATTCATAAACTCCTGTGAATGTTTCTGTGAAGAAATCTAGTTATTAAATATAATTAAATTTAGAATAATTATAAATACTATTTAAATATATAATAACTTTAATATTAATTTGTAACCATAAATTGAAATTCCATTGACTAACATGTATATAAAACTATTTAAGTAAGAATTGTTCGTACTGGAAAGCAATCTGTTAAAAGGTGTAAAGCAATATGTCGTATGTTTTAGGAAGTAGTAAAGAAGTATTTTTAGAATATGTGTTGTTGAAATTAAAGATAAAAAAATTTTTTTCACTTTCAAAAATATACTTAAGTACTTGGAAATCGGCGGCAATATTTAATGTACTTTACAATTAAAATAAAATGTGCTGTAATTTGAAATGAACCAAACAGAGCATTAATTATAAAGCTACTCTGATTTTTGATTTAAAGGATGCCTCAGAAGCTAAAAAATCATCTCATATTTGAGAAAGTATTTCAAGAAGCTCTGAAAATAGAAAAGAAATATTGCGTAATTTTAATATTACAATAAACTTTTATCTTAATTTGTGCCATCGTTAACCAAATAAAATCAAATTACTTTAAAATTTCATTCTAAAGTAATTAAAGAAAACTTGTGAAAATATTTCATTCAAATTAAACTATTCTGAGAAATTTGCAGCATTTAATTCTGTTCAAAATGAAATGTTGCTTAAAAATATATTCTTAGGACTATGAAATATTATAGAAAAGAAAATATACACATTTATATGTATATTTACAATGTAATTACAAAATGTTTACCTCCGATCATGTCAAAAACCATTGATATTAATTTGGCAAGTCATTTGGTCTGTACGAAGGAAGTGCAGCTCCTTCAAGGCGGTGCATAAAAAAAACTAGATAGAGCCTCTCCTCTTACTTCCTACCTACATGTCAAAATATGATTTTTTATGCTATAGACTAGCATCCTTTTCTATTGTTTCAGTTAGAACTCTTTTTATATTAAGTTCAATTTTATTAATATTTTCATATAAAATGTATGGTTTAATCAATATATAATTAAGATATTTATAATAAAGCCTGCTTTCTGCTCCTACAACTTAATTCAACTATACGGTAATAAGTTCTGTTATTAGGCAGAAATGCATGTTCAACAGGAAAGGATAATGCTCTGGCCCCAAAACTTTGCTGGCATCATCTCAAATGTAGAAGCAGGCCTGTTTCCATCAAAATGCTATACTTGAAGGGTTTGCTAAGAAAACCTGGTTCATGTCTAAACATGAGCAGAAAACAGTTAAAAAGTTAAAATACTAAAAATAAAAATAATAAAAAAAAGAAAGCAGTTAAGTTTGTATTAAACATAAAGTGAGTCAGAATTAAAATATTCATTGAAAAGCAATGTAAATTATTACAGCAAAGTTTAACTAATTTTACAGTCACTTAATTTTATGTATATATCTTACCAGAAATAATTTTAATCCCTGAATCATGTCATCTGAACCTTTTTTATGTTAGATTATCATGTGTGCTTTTAATCTTACCTTCCCATTAAAATTTACTATACCAAAAACTGCTCATTGCTCAACTCTATAACTAACCCCGTTTTGATGAAATAACTGCATGTCTATATTATTACTAAAATTTCAATTCAAATATTCGCTATCAATTTTAATATGCTTTTGAACAACAAAACCTCTTAACTAACTTGAAAGACTTCAAAACATGTTTAAAAAATAAATACCTGCCAATAATATAAAAGCAGTTAAAATGGACTGAAATAAGCAAATTTTGTAATGGAATATGTGTACAGAAATACTGTATTAAGGTTGAGTGATAGACAAAAGCATTTTGCTGGTGTCACTCCCTAAACTGTGTAAACTGTCATTCTCTGAAAAATTTCAAGTAGTATTCATTAATAAATAATGTGAAGCTCAATGACATATAATATATATATAATGGTTTTAATTAATCCAGCTAATGTAATTTAATAAAAAATCTTTAATGATTTTAGATATATCATAAATTAAATGATTCAAATCAATCAGATAATATAGTAGAAAAAAAATTAAGAACTATACTTATTGCTTTTCAATCACTTAGTTTATTAATCAATAACAGATAGATTTCAATTATAAAGTTAAATATGTTATGTTTTGCCTAATGGTAACATGTTGGAAGACAAAAGTTTTTAGTCCAAGCAGTAGCAACACATTTCTTTCAAACAGCCAAGTTTGTTTGTTCATTAAATTTGTAAGATAAATAGCTTAAATTTTAACAAATAGCATGCCAAAGATAAAAATGTTTTACAAGTTGCCACTGCTTACTTTTCAGTCAGAGAGTTTATTAAGTTTTCCTAGCATATGATATAAATAAAAAACAAATTCAAAATTTGGGCTTTGAAGTGCACATGTTCAGATGAAGGACTATGTGTTTTCAAATTTTGGCAGCTCTAGATAGCCAAAATTTGAAAATTTGAAGAATATCTATGCATGCCCCTCACACTATGGAAAAATGATGCTAATAAGGAATATAATTTTTCCATAGTGTGAGGGTTGCATACATAGATATTCTTCATTATTTAATAAAGAGTTACATATACATTGGTTTATGCATACACATATCAGTTGTATATGTATATAATGAACATATACTGAAATAGAAAAGTAGCAAAAAATGTTATCTAACACTGTAAAAACTTTTGCATACTTGTTTAAATATTTTCCCCACTGATTTAAAGATTTTTGGTATACTGCATTAAATTCAATGGAAATCAAATTCTTTACTAATTTTTAAACACAGAATTTTCAAAGTATGAACTAAGTATGTAACTGCAAACAGATACACATGTTCCAGCATGATTTCAAGAAAAATCAATTTTAAAATATACTATCTTTAGTTCTAAAATAAAATTCGCTTACTTCCTTTTCTTTTTTTAATGTGTAATATAATTATTATAATTTTAAGCTTAAAAAATCAATTTTTAAGTAATGTTTAAATGCATATTTATGTTTCAGAATGAAGCAGCTGATATTATGAACACAGGAAATACAGGTAAAATAATTCAAACACAAGTAAATTTTATACATTACATCTGATTTAGGGGGAAAAAAAAATCAATATACTGGACTTAAAATATTTTTTTCGTATTTCCCAAAATTTTAGTTATGGATGGAGAAAATCTCAATAAAATGGAGAAGGAAAGATTAAAGAAACTATCTGAAGCAACAATTCCAGACGTTCCAAAAAAACAAAATCGAAAAAATAAACGCCATAAAGGGATTTTAAATTATTTTTTCAGGTATGATGCCAAAAGTTTATTAAATTACAAATTATGTTTCCTCATGCAGCATACTGAGGTTCTGGTTAATTTAGAAGAATTAAAACTTCTGTAGTGAAATTTGCAAAGTTAAATGCCTGAATTAAAAAAAAAAAAAAAAAAAAATGAGTATTTGCACGGTAAAATAATATATATATATATTAAAAATCCAGTTGCCCAGTATCAGGAATAATTTAATATCCAGATCTCCAGACCACCAGCATTTCTTTTTCTCTCTACAATGTCTGTGCAAATGAGGAATATAATACCCATGATAAAGCAGGTGCGTCATAAAAGCGATTTTTTTCCCCCAAATAAATGAGATTCCTGTGTGTTATTATTGACAATGTACTGACATTAGTCAGAACCACATTTTCAATTCTTGAGTAGGTGTTGAGGCAGACTAGTACTTTTCTACCTGACCCAAGAAACATTTTTTTCTAATATAAGATTATTCAGATACACAATAGAAATGTTCTCAAAAGTGCAAGATGTAAGAATTAATAAAATGCTTAATAAATATTTAAATTGTTACTTTTCTTTAATTTTTAGGTTTCTGTACAAGGATACTGATTGACAAAGTGCAGGTATTTAAGACAAAAGGAAGTCAATTTATTTTTTGCACTTGACCTTTAAGAATTCCAGTTTGTTTGATACTTGTAGCTTTATTTTATATTTAAAAGTATGTGTATGTTATGAAATATTAGAATTTCTTATATAAAGTTTAGTATCAGGTTCATTAATTTTTTAAGTAAATTAAAACTTCTTTAATGAATCTTAAATACATGGGCTCATATTAGTGATTTGCTTTTCCGACTTTTTATAATCAAAATAAGAAATATTTTGGGGAGAAATTTTATGTTATATATAAAATCCATATTTCAAAACCTGACAAATACTTTAAATTAAAAAGCAAAACAAAAAAATCCATATGTTTAGATGCCTTTCATATTACATACAGTGGGTAAACAATAATTTATATAAACTAATTTGTATTTATATTGCTGTCAGAAAAAAATGGTGGAAACTTTATGTGTTCAAAATAGACGAATAATTCCACCGGTAATATAGATAATAGACACTGGTCATTTATATTATATTCCTACTGATAATTAATTTTAAAAACAGACAATACAAATTGTATAAGTAAGAACATGAACATATGTATTGTTACTGTGATTTATTACCATGATGATGCAATACAGAAGCAGCATTTTCATAGCAATTTAAAATGGAAAATGGAAAATTTCATAATTAAAATTGGCCTGTTCAGAGCAATCTATAGCTGTAACTGTCTAATACATAAGACACTACTATTTACGCATATAGTATTCAAAGGATATAGAACAGGATTCTGGAAATGGGAGGAATTAATTAAAATAAATAGAATAAACACCTTTAATTAATGAAACAAACTACCAAAAAAATCAAGCATTGTACTATTTACGCACATTACACAAGAAATCAAGAAAAGGGGCAATTTCGAATACTTTTAAAGCATTTTACAGATATGCATCTTGTCACATTTATTTCCTGTTGCATAGTTATCACATTCAACGGATCTTAATCCCCAATATTTTTTACAGGCCAGTCATTCCAAAAAAAAAAAAATGTTGCTTATCATAACAGCATCACAAATTTGATGTAACTGAAGGGCTATAATATCATTTAATAGTGCAAAGCATCACAGACAATCATCTGCAGTCAGCTACGGAACACACTCTTCATTGGCTTAAGCAAATTCAAGGCACAGACCACACTAAGCAGATTATTTACATCAGGGGATCTCAAGCTTTTGACTAATGTGCACCATCTAAATAAAAACTGAAAACCTTTAATACCACCACTACAAAGTTCTACAACCAGCACAACTCTTAAACAAAGCTCAAATCGCATAAATTTACAAGTGTTACAGAAAAAACTCATACAGGATGTTGGAGGTTTTAATTTTTGGATTTAATAGTTAAAAATACTTTGCTTCTTTTTGTACCACTTATTTTTCTCTTATGCACCATCAGTGGTATGTGTACCACCAGTTGAGAACCCCTGATTTAGATCATTTCACATATTGTAACTGGTGTTTTGTGTAAATAATGCGCATTATACAGCAATTCCTGTACTTATGCTGGCACTGCTTCAGGTGATATTTACTTCTCTTATTCAATTCACAATGCTTAAATAGTATAAGAAATGTTTAATTGTTTTGAATTGAACTTTTTTTTTTATTCCCTAGTTTACTTCACTTATTGAATAGATTATTTTTACTGTATTATATCATACATTAGTCATTAACTGGGTGTTTTTTTAATTAATTATTTTCAATTGCAGAATCCTTTTCTGCATCTTTTAAAGATGATATATTTAAATTTTGACACCATGCTGTTTAATGGTTACAGTTACACAGTGCTCTGAAAAGGCTAACTTCAATTATGATCACCCCGGAATTAAATATCATTGGTATTTTCAGATAAAAATGCTTGTCAATTTTCTAACATATGTAATATATTGTTAACACTAAGTTTGTATAAAATATTGTACATCATAAATTTTAATTCTGCATACAGAACTACAAAATGCTGATTGAATATATCATCAAAGATATTTAATTTTAATCAAGAAATTGTATAAACATGATTTATTTATAAATATTTATGTTCTGAATGTTACTACTAGAAGAGAGAAAGAGACCTCTCTGGTTTTCTACAAAATATTTTAGTTATCATAAATAAATCTGTATTTGATTGTTTAGAAACATTTGCACATCATAATTATTAGTATTAATTATTCTAAATACTGAAATATTCTACATTTTCACAAACTATTATGATTTAATTTGTAGTGACCTACATCTGACCCCAAAATATATTACAGGTCTCAATAATGTTTTATCATCATGTTTGTGAATTTTAAATATAAAACACAGAGATGTGCTAGATACAAATAAAAGAATTTTACTTTATGCTAAGTTAATAATACAAACACTCTGTTCCAATATTCAGCTTCCCGAGCACAAAGAGAGGAATTGTAACCATTATAATAATGAAAAATACATATCAGAGACATACTTTCAGCCTGCTATATCATTATATTAAAGCAAATTGAATTTAACCCCCCCCCCCAGTGGCATGACCACCTTTATCCTATTATGAGATTTTTTTGTCATTTACATTAGAAAAGAAATTTGCTTTCTTACTTTGACCAATGTAACTATCATCTTAATTAATGGAAGTTTATGAAAAAAAGACTAAAATAAGAGCTGTTTAAATCTAGGTCTTCATGAGCAGAACCCAAAAACCATACTACTCAGAAGAAGATTAATATCCAACTCCAGTTAAAAATGGCCCACCAGTGGCCGAGCGGTAAAGACGCTGAACACTGGTAGTTCGGTCTGAGGTTCGAATCCCGCGAACGGGCTGGCTGCATGGGCGTTTTCGTGGTTTTTCCCATGTGTAACGTGTATACGAGCCAGTTTCCCTTAGAAAGTCCTCCACGAAGGCATCCCTCCCTTTAGGCAGATAGCCCTCGTGTGCTTTGCCATAACTGAATAATCCACTAATCCAGTTAAAAATGAGCTTCATGTTAATTATCTAAGTCTTCAAATTATTTTATTTGTATATAAATGCTACACTTCAACTAAGAGTCACAGTAGCTAAATAAGATGGAAGTGTTAAAAAAAAAAAAAAAAATTACAAATCTAGAATGCATATTTAGTCATCACTAGAAGTAATATTTAATGCACGAAGAACAGTTATACATTATTTTAATTTATATTTTTGTGAATGAATTTGGATCTTTGAGTATGCTGCTAGTTATTTTGATGGCAACTGTTTAGACCATCCTTTATCTAAGTAAGAAAAAATTCATTAATTTGAAAAAATTTGTTCATTTGCTTATTGATTTACAGACTGTAAATCAATGAGCAACCAATGCTCAATTCATTATCACATTGTTTTATAAATACATTAGAAATGTTTCCTATAATATATTAACATGAATACGGTGTTGGAAGAGTCGAATAAATTGATCTTTTATTCATAATTCCTTGGTTTATAAATTACAAATTTCATAAATTTAATTATTACTGAATATATAATAGATAGATCTAATAAACTTTAAAGAACTTTGGTAGATGGTAATGCCGATTTTGATACAGTTAAAAAAATATATTCTGATTTACAAATATTCTAAACAAATACGTATACTTTTATTAAAGAAGTCACCTAAATTCTCATATTTATAACTTTTTCTTTCAATGCATCTTGTGAGCATTTAAAGCAGCAGAGAATATTTTAACAAAGACAAATAAAATCCATTTTTGTAGAACAAATTTATTTCTGTATGAAAAATCATACAATAGTATTTTAACATTTCAAATTATGAAAAATAAGGCTTATCTTTTGCCCACAGTTCTTCCAAAATATTATCAATCTCTTCTGCATTTTCAAAACGATCTACAAAAGATTGTATTAAGCTTTCAGGTGACAAATCATAGCTTCTTAACTGGACTTTACCATCTGAAAAAAGGAGTACGAAAATAAAAAATGATGAAATTTCAATACAGATCAGTAACATGAAATACAAATATTTGTTTGAAAAATTCTACAGGAGATAAATGCTTCAGAATATAAGAAAAAATATACATTTAATCAGTAATTCTGACTTTAACAATGTATTTTTTACACGATTTTGAAATAAAAATATTAAATTTTATATAAGAAAATGTGAATAAAGAACAATAATTCTTATATAAAGGAAAAAAAGTTTGATAAAATTAACAGAAATTAAATTTTTGACACTGAAATAAAATTTCTAGATTTAATAATTCTAAAATTAAAAAAAAAAAAGAATTTATCAGTTTACTATTAGAAAAATTCAGCTGCTTACATTTCTAGAACAACAGAAAGTGTACCACAGTAAATTTGTTTTATATGAAATGCATAGAAATGTCAAAGCTTTTTATTGATTACAGGTGCAGATCTTTCATAATTTAAAAAGTAACATGAATCAAGATCCTCACAAGATATTTATTACACATAAAGTCTATATATAAGCATTATTAAATATTTTCCAATATACTTATAGCATGAAAATAATATGACTATGCCATAGGACTCATGACTAAATACTGATATATAAATGTAGTAAGTACAGTCAAATACTGAAAATCCGCTGACCTGAAATCCGCGTTGCCTCTCAAAATATAAACATTCCGTTTATAGGTTCCGGAAACCACAACATTGAGTACAAAATATCGAAGAAACAATACTTACCGAATAATGGCGTCATAATTACCGAATAATAATGAGTCATAACGGAAACACCAAATTATTGACATCATGATAAAAGTTTTTTCTCCTCTCATCTGCACCGATGAAAGCAGACGATTCACTCAACTCTTCTTTCAAGTTCACGATTCACGTTGTATTTTCTGAGCTTTGTTATTTCATGAGATTATTTAGTGCTGCCTTTTTTTTTTTTATCCAGAGATTTTGTGGATAAATTAAGAATATTTTAAATTTCAGCCCTTTTTAATACAATTACAAATAAGAAACGCAGTCATGATTTTACTGCTTGCAACATTGAAAAACGTAAATACATTGCATTGACGGTAATGCAAAAAGTGCAAATTCTGCAAAAGATGGAGACTGCTACTCCTCGGTTTATAGCAGAATCGTATGGAATTGCGATACGACTGTGTTGATATACGGAAAAATAAAGAAAAGCCGTTGAAGTTTTACACCAACAGTGATTCTAACACCGGAATCCGAAACCGGAAATCTTTGCATGAGGCAAAATCGGCAGACCTTGATGCTATGTATATATAATACAATGAATAATATAATCAGTTTATATATGTAATAATAAGTTATTGCAATAATGTATATAATAATTTAATTAAATGTATCTAATACGCCTTATTTATTTTGCACTTTTAGTCTGAATATTAGGATTTTTCTTTTCTGTTCTGAAATCCGCAAAATCCTAAATTCCGCACAACCTCTGGCCCCAAGCTTTGCGGATTTCTGGAATTCTACTGTACTAAGTTTTGTTTGCAGGTATTGACAAAATGCCTTTTAAATATAAATTGCTTTAATTTGAGAAATAATTTTTAGTATTATGACCTGCAAATTAAGTATTTTTTAAAAATTTTAATGTAAGCGTGCTAGCTTTACATAAATGCAAACAATGTGTTGTTAATACTACTTGTGAGTGGCAATAATATTTAATTTCAGTTTATTGTTGTTCTAAAAAGAATATTCTTAAAATTTATCATTGTCTCTGGCTATAAGTTTAATAGAGAAAATCGGTGAATTTTTAGATTGCATTTAATACTTGTCGTCCACTCATAGGATTATGTATAGTAACCAATATTTATTAATCGAAGATTTAAATGATTTTATCAGGGAAATACATCATAAATGATTTTTTCAGTGAAATACATCAAGAAAGATGACTTCTAGCATATGAAATTTGCGAAGAAGTGTCACTATCAATGAGTCTAAAAAAGGCATAGATTTTGTTAGAGGAATTTTGAAGAATATTTTTGATGATAGAATCAAGAAACAAGATCAGCTTTAAATTAGAGAAAAATAAACAAAATCAGAATTTGTGTTCAAGAAAAGAAACAAGATCAAGAATTTGAGTTACATAAAATTGGCCTAAAAAATGAAGTGGAACTGGAGAGTATTTAAGCTCAAGCTCAAAACCAAGATATAATTTCTCAGAAAATTTTAAAAACTAGTTAAAAGAAAAAATTTACTTTGCCTAAATTACAGTTTAGACAGTTGAGCAACAAAGAATGGCTAACTTTCTTGAAGCCAATTTGACTTGGTACATCCACACTTGGTATCTTGGAATATGTATCTTTGGTTTCATTCTTTCAGATTCCTTAATCTGAAAGAATGAAACCAAGATGCATATTTTATGAATGCAAGCATGCTAATGGTGATTTAATGCTCAAAAACTGATACTAGAAGAAAGGCAGAAATTAGTAAAGGATAAAAAATGCTGTTTTGCGTGCCTTGTTTCCCAGTCATTCAGTTACAAAGTGTCGCATATTTTTAAAACATCTCATTTGTAGTAAAAGCATGTTTCCTTGATGTGTAATCAAATGCAGGCTTGTAACAAACCTAGTCAGAAGGAGGAAAATGAAATTTTTCTGAAAAAAATGCTAACTTTTTTTTCTGGAATGGCTAATGCTATTGGATTTCAATTTACATTTTTAATCCAATACTAGTTCACAAAGGTCATACATTAAATGCATATAGCAACACAGATGAAGTATCCTATAACTTTTCAAGAGACAATTAAATACTCTTTGTTAGGTGATATTTCCACTAAAGAAGATAAGTCTAACTGTTACAAAATAAAGCAAGGAAATGGGAATTTAACTTTCAATTTTAAAGTCTTGTATCAAAATAATATTTTGTTTTAACTGATACTAACACCTCTTATGAACCTATTCAGATCCTCATTTGAGCAGATATTATGGATTAAGCTTTTGACAGATGGAAGAAAAATATTATTCCCAGGTTTAGTTGTATGAACTATGTTCCCAGGTTTATCGAAACCTATCTCGGATGGATATTAATGGCTAAAGTCCCATAAGCAGATGCTATAAGAGAAAATTCTGTAATGACTCAAACATCAGAACCAAGGATCCTGAGGAGAAAAAGTCATAACTGGAGATAGACCTAAAAACTAAAGAATAGTTCCTAGAAACAACAAAATTTAATTGAGATAACTATTATGAAGTTTGTTTGCCATGAGCTGACATTAGTTCTCCTTTGCCCAATAACTTGAGCCTTGTCTAGAAAGACTTGAAGTGCCGCCAGCTGCCAAAACTGTTGTCCAACATCGTGCATAACAGAAATTAAAAATGTTTTTCTGGAATGGCTTGAAGAAGAAGTCGTTGAATAGCTACCTCCAAATGATGGGATTTTGTATGGGAACTTACCTTACTGACCTGTCATAAAACAAACCAGCAGAACACATTCGAACAATATTTGATGCATTAGCAAAACTATCCAGGCAGCAGCAAGTTGACAGAAGCAATGCATAAAACAAAAATGCGAAAAGAAACTTCCAAGACGGAAGATTAGATTCCAAAATGGAAAGTTTCTGCCTTGCAACTTTCTCATTAGCTAATTCGACTGTTTGAGTTTTAATCAACAAATTGCTTACGTCATGGTATTAAGTAAAGCAGGGAAAGGTGAAATATCCAAATTTTAAGGGACTGTTGCAAATTAAAGTTATTATTTTGATTTACATATTTTTTATCTTACATATCCCCCCTTCAAAAGGTTTCTAGCCAAATTCTAAAATTTCAGTAAAATTTCCTACATTTGATTCCAAACAACTATACTTAAGCATAAATTCAAGTTCATGCATGTATCATTTTAACGTGTTTGCTGCCAACCACAAGTTATCTCGTAAGTTGAAGTAGGTCTTGTAGGTTGCTCGGCAGAGTACATGTTAAAAAGTTTGTAACATTTAAAGAACTTTATGGTACTCTTATAAGAATTTTAAAAAAAACACTTACCTTCTATATATGTATTTGCTTGAACAAACATTTTTCTTGGTTTCTTCCGTGCTAGAACAATTTCCCTGTATTCCAAGAATGGATATTTATCCTCTGATGTTACTGCTGAGTATTTATCATACATAGCTTTAGCTGACGTAAAATCTGCTGTTGCCTTATATAGCTACAAGAAAAATTTTACAATATGTAGAAAAAATACATGTTCAAAAACATAATAAATATATAACACAAGTTATTTTAAAAGTGGGTACACAATTACAAGAGAAGAATTATTTTTATCACCATGCAAACACAGAATATTACATAAAATTGCAACACAGATAGAATTAAATATGTTCTCATAATAGATAACCTATTGAACCAATCTTTCACAACATATCATGATACTTGTGTATTAGCTGGTACCTATAAGCTGTATAGTCTTTTGGTGCCTTTTGACAATGAAATATACCTTCAATGTCAGTAGATCAATGAAATGGGTTTTAATATTTTTAGCATGTATTAATTAGTAATCATACAGATTATTAGAACATTAAAAGAAGAAAAGAAAAACCTCATCTTTCTAAAAGAATTTGGCATAGTTTTTAGGGCTGCCAAATGCTTGCATGAATCAGACACGAGCAATATTTTTGGTGATGTATAGAAGTTGCTGGTGAATACACATGCATCCAGATCACTACCTCATACCTACTGTTAGTTATAGCAACATCAATTAAATTTCCTTTATTAACTTATTTAATAATTTCATCAAATTGAACAACATTAAGAACAAAATAATAGTTTAGTTATATTACAAGACTAGCATTTATTCAAAATACAATCAAAGTTTCTTTATAAAATGCATAATAGCATAACTTTCTTTTCATCAAAATACTGATAACTTGATTCAAGGGTCTATTAAATGGTGTAAGCTTATAATAAATTTATTTAAATTTACCTTTGATTTAGATACTCAGTTTCATTACCACTTAAAGTAACATATTAATAATGAAGGTTTAAAGTTGTTGATTTAAGACTTTCATGGTTAATTTGAATAACAAGGATATGAGGGGAAAATGTACTGATATTAAAAAATCAACATCAGCTATTGTACAGTCATCAGTATATATTGAGTGAGTAAAATATAAAAGATGTCCGCTTCTTTTTAACATGGACTAATCTGCCTGTCACACATAGCGATGTACCAGCCAGGAAAGGCTTATCTTGAGAAGAAACAGTATCATTATAATCAACTACAGTCAAAAGTCGTTAATCCGGACTCGTCGGGACTTCGGCGATTCCGGATTATAGATCATCAGTTTAAATCTCGCAAGATGGCATGCAGAAATTCTAAAATTAAAAATATGAAACCGTAATTCATGAAATAAAGAACAATTATGATTTAAAGGGTATCAAAATTTACAAAAAAAAAAAAAAAAAAAAAAAAAAAAAGCTTAATATTTATTTGTTTACTTTATTAAACATTTCTTTCAATGTAAGTTGTTTAAGTTGCTTCATTTCATGTGATAATACTTTCTCTTTAATTCTTTAAACAGACATAATTTCTTGTTCATTTACAAAGTTCCACTGTTCAAGTCCGTATTGCTGTGCCGAGAATACCAATTAACTTGTCAATCGAAATTTTTCTTTTTCACTAACCTCTCTGTCACCTTCTTTATGTCTTTATCCATTTTTGCAGCAATTCCACTTTTTGTTGATGGACATCGAACATACTTTCGTTTGTAGATCCTTTGGGAGCTCCAGCATCGGAAATTCTATTTGACAAATCGAAAGTTCAAGTTTACTTTTATAAAATTGCTCTTACAGTCTGAAAAATATAATAAGCCGGACCCAACTCGAAGATTAAGGAACAACGCAATCATCAACATTAACTGAAATAGATAATTAGATAATTTTAGCTTATACTGTCTGTTATACATAAAACGCGCACGCGAAAACGTATTCTGCGCTTGTGCCCACGCATATGTGCAGTCGTAAAGGTCTTACGCACATGTGTCAACGCGGCGCATGCGCAGAAAGTTTTTAACTTTGAGGTCCGGATTAACGACTTTTGACTGTAATGTAAAAGTGGGTAAGATAAAAGATTTTGGCAACTCTGAATGAATCACGAATATAGGTATAAAAGACTTGATTTCACATCTCTGAAATGGTTAATATTCTAGGCATTTCATATGCAACATTATCTTAGAGTGCAGCAGTTGAGTAAAGTTTACACAATAAAAACAACAATTTTGGCTAGAAAGTGTTGGTTATTAGAGAGATGAAAGGCAACTGACATGCACACCATCTACAGTTTGCACAGTTTTTTTATCATGCCCTCCTACTGCCAAAAATGAAAATTTCTGAGCACCTCTTCCCCAATAATAATAAGATTACCTATTTATAAGGGCAGTAAGAAGGGGGGGGGGAAAAGAAAAAAAAACATAATTTGTAAAGGTTTTATTATAGAAATAGTCTGTTTTTACACACATCTGGTAAGAGAGGGAATAAAAAAATTAACGGAATGGATCAGCTTGCATATTTTTGACAAGCTTTTCAATTCTTGGTTGAAGAGAAGAAATTGTGCAACATAAATCACTGGCAAAACCAAGTTTGCTTCTATACTTCATTTTTATTGCTACAACTCCTGAAAACTCCCATTTACACAAATAAGTGCTTGAAAATGGTAAGTACAGTTGTCGTGCTTGTTCTGCTATGCTGGGATATGCTTTGAGATATTTTACCCAAAATAATTGCTAATCCATCTTTTCAAAGTCATATTTGGCTGCAGAATCATTTTTAATTTCCAAAGCTTGCTCTTGTAGTGTTTCTGGCTGCACATCTATGCCAATGTATAAATGCTATCACAAAGTTAATTTTTAAATTCATCAGTGAGGTACTGTAAATAATTTGATATTATATTCTTGGCATCAGTAGCCTTCTTAAAAATTTGAACTAATTTGGAAAAGGAGGAATAACTAACTGTAGGCTAAAATTTTATGTTCCCAGAGTTTCAACTTATTCGTACACACTGTGATGGCACCTCGATGAAAAGGCACCTCAAACCTCCACTTTATAATTTCAAGTTCAATAAGTTCAACGAATCGAAAATATCTGATAGACAACTTTAAAACTTGGTTTTCAGAATTCCACATACAATTCAGTTTGATTTTGAATTTCCCAAAACAGGACTGCCTCAGGTTATTGCATAACAAATCTTATTATTTGAAGGTACAACAGTCAGTTCTGAAATACATCTATATTAGTTTATTTATTGCAAGAATATCAAACGAAGTTCGATATGAGGTCTTCCTGTAATATTTCAACCCCACTAATTGAAATTTATTTCCTACTATATTTGACACTACATGTTTAGGAAAACACTGATAATGCTGGCAATAATTTTGGAATGCAGATGATCAGATTTGGCTGGTAGTGATGATAATATACAGACACCTGATATTTTGAAAATAAAAATATTAGTAAGTGATTTTCAAACTAAAATGCATACATGCTTATTCTGTATCATTAAAAGCCATTATTTTGAAATGTAATGTATATAAGCATATTAAAAACTTGATATGCTTAAATCTGAAAAACTAGCTTTTGTATATGGGGCTTATTATGATCATTTATCTTTGCCTTGTTTTATCGTCGTACTGCCTTAGCATGATATAACTATTTAAATAACCACTTGATATACGTAGGTTGGGGCAAAAGTCATGGCAATTATTTTTTTCCTTGAAGATACCAGCCTGGTTGGAAAATGTGACATATACAGACGAAAGGCAAGGTCTTAACTACATGTGTGGACAATGAATAGCACTGAAATATCGTAACACACGAATTTATTATGGTAGTATACAGGGCAATATGGCCTTCACTGTGCAAAAGAATGATAACACAATACACATAAAGTTGACATGACAAACCTGGGCCTAAAAATCCTCAATGTAGTCCCCTGCTACTGTCACCACACGCTGCCAACGGGAAGGCACTGAATACCATCTGCCTCAGCATTTGCCGCACGTGTTGCAAACCGCCTACCATGTATTGGTTCCTTAATCTTGGGAATAAGATCAAAGTCACAGGGCGAAAGGACAGGAGAGTACGGTGAGTGCTCCAATTCTTCTTATACCCAACGTCGGAGTAGCTGCCGTACACACTCTGCTTTATGTGGTCTTGCACTGTTGTGCAGAATTATTGCACTGTCCACAGGAACGTTGTACCTGTCGCACCAGGAAGTCCCTGTAGTACTGTGCGGTCACTGTTCTGCCATGAGGACAAAGTGGCAAACAATGACACCCCTGACGTCATACGTGACGATCACCATCAAGTTGACTGAGGAAGGATTCTGACGGACCTTCTACTTCCTTGGTGATCCAGGATGTCGCCACTCCACGGACTGACGTTTCAGTTCTGCATTGTATGCCCTGGCCTAAAATTCATCGATGGCGATTATTCGTTACAAGAATTGATCGTCATCCTGTTGCCAGCGTGCAAAGTGGTCGGAGCATATTGCACAATGCACCCACCTTTGAACTTCCGTCAGTGCATGTGGTACCCGTCGCAAAGCAATTTTGCGCAGCTGTAGCTCATTACGCAATATCCTGTGGACGGTGCATTTCTCGATGCCACTTTCCTTCTCTAACATCCATTGTCTATCTTCATCCATGAGGTGCTCGATGATGGCAAATGCCAAGTCGGTCCGCACACTCACCGGTCGTCCCGAACGTTGCTCATCACTGGTTGACACACGTCCTTGCTGAAACTTTCCTACCCACCGTGCTACTGTATGATATGATGGGGCATTATTTCCAAGGGCTTTTACTAATTCACTGTGACATTCCATCGCATTTCTCCCTCAGAGAACGTCTATTTTGATATAAGCGCGATGCTCAACACGGGTTACTTCCATCTCACACGACACTCACCAACTGACTGATTTCAGAGTGCTTGCTACGACAGAGCCAGCTATCAAAGAGCCATCTGTTGTTCTGCATACACACTATGCCTGCAAAACTTCCACACGACACATATACGTTTTGTGATCCATTCACATATCTACAAGAAAAAAATAGTTCCCATGACTTTTGCCCCAACCCTCGTAGTAATACTTGCTCAGCTTCTTATGTCTTCTAAATTATTCTGTTTTTCTTTGAAATGTTTTTTTCCCCTCATTTTTTAAATATTATAAGAGGTTTTCATTAAAATTATATTATAAAAACAAACACATTAAATTAAATACACGCAAATAAATTTTCAGTTATATTTACAAAAAACCTACTTGCAATCGTTGTAGAAATTTTCCAATGCACGGTTTACCAACACTTAAAATTTTACTACGATCTACTGTGAGCAACAGATCAGGATTTCCATCCTCCCCTTTAATCTTTTCTACTTTTACAAAACCTCCTCCACCTTCTAGAAGAACTTGTAGTATTACATAGCGGGCTTGCGAATGTGCCTAAAAAAATTTAAACATTTCTAATTAATCTCAGATGATTAAATTCAGATATTACTTGAATAAATTTCATTTCATGTAATACAATTCAAATCTTTTCAAGATGTTATGAAACAGATTAATGATTTTAACAGATTAACAATAATTAAGATTAATGACAGTTATTTTGATTAACTCTCACTCAGTTTATTTAAACTCCACTGCTCATGCACTGGAGTTTAAATATTTAATGCTATATGGGAAAGTAATTTCCATTCACATCTTATACTTACATCTCAAATGTAATTTATTAAGAAAAACTAACTATCTGACTGCAAGTTTTATTTTTTCTTGGTCTACACCATCCACTAACTAAAATTAATGACTAGCATAACAGCTCATTATAAATGTTACTTTTAGATTATGATTTGACAATCACATTTTGTTTGGCTTAAAAAAGTTTTGCTTTTATAATAAAATGAAAATTATGCTTACCTGTAACCAAGATTCAGTTTTGGGTTCATACATTTGAAGACTAAGTAGACCTTTAAGGCACATGTCCAACCAGTTGACATATAAGACATCATCTGCTTCATTTCCTTCATGACCAAATACTCTGCAATTCAATAAAATATTATACTGAAGCTTTAAAACGTAATTTTATAACACAGTATAGCTATAAACAATTTTATTTTAACATAATTTATTTAAATGCTGAAAAGTACATTAAAATGGATTATCTATTTAAGAATACTTTAAAGACAATTCAAAAACAACATAATCACTTTTCAAAAGTAAAATACACATTATAAAAATATGTGATCAGTAGGATAGACAGGCTGAATAAAATCTATACCTTAGTATTTCTGGTACTGTAGACAAGTACAAAGCAACACATTCAGCTCTGCATTCTTCATATGAAGAGCCAAGAGAAGAAAACACAGAATCATAGGTCTCACCTTCTTCATACCAACTTTCAATCTATTAAAAAAAAAAAGTTTTTAAAAATAAATAATTAAAATTTCTAAAAAATATGCAGTTAAAAAAATTAATAAAATACCGGAGTGTTTGTTTCCAAATGCAAAGCTTCCTTTATGTCAAAATTAAATGTACCATCTTTTCCTTTTTTGAATAAGATTCCACTGCCATGCCCCAGAAGTTCATGTAAGCCGACACAAACTTCAAATGCTTTCACCATATATTTGTCTTCATATTCCTAGAACAGTAAAGGGAAAGTGTTATATAATGTCTGAAAAATTCAGTGTACCTGAAAACAATGAAAGGTAAATATATAAAAAAAATTTTAATGCTGGCAGGACTAACTAACTTAAAATTTGAAATCTGAATGTCTGTTTTATTTGCCATTACTTATATTAAAATTAAGTATGAAGTTGTTACTCTCCAAAGTTGCTTTTTAGAGATTTCTTTAGTTTAGAGTAAAGTACAAATCATATATATAACTATATATCAGCAGTTTTTGGGAAAGGAATGCTTTAATATATTCCAAATCCCAACTGCTTGTGCATATTAGATGGTGAAATCTTTGTACGCAACTGCATATGTAGTAACAAAAATGGTTAATACTTTTACAAAAAGGGTTCACCATTTCATAGGATACGTCAATTTGAGTTTATGGGGTAGGGATCTTTTTTATGTGCATGAATAGTATATTATTAATTAGAATGCTTAGATTAAAGTCCTGAAAACACTTTTTTATATTTTATAATGAGTTTCATAATTAAACTTGGAGATCAAAATAATTTTTTTAATTAAACCAATCCAAATCTTACTTGATCTGCTTTGTTGAGGAAATTATATGGATGTTTCTGCTGGGTATGTATTACATTTCCAAGGGAAACATTTTTGAATCCTTCACATTGTCTGATTTCATCATCTGAAATATGAAACAGAAAGTGAAGAGAAGTAAATTAAGTAATAAAATAAATGATTTGAATCTTAACATATATTAAAGTTTTGCACAATATCAGTTTTCATTATACCTAAACAAATAAGAATAAGCATCCCACAGTACAGAAAAAAAAAAAAAAAAAAAAAATGAAGGAAAATAAATCTCAAATACAAGAGACATCATACACTGGTGTGTAAAACTTAAGCAACAATGTAAATTTTAATCAGACAGCCATGAAATTACAGAGGAGGAGTTCTTGTGATCAGTACAATGAACACAGAATTCAGTAGAAAGATCAGGCGTGTGGCAAAAATCAGAAACAAAACGTCACAGACGACGTGACCGCACGCAAAACGTGTGCAGTGAGCGCGCTTAACACTGCAATAAGAGGGAGGACGGAGACGCAATTAACGACATTCGCTGCAAGTGCGAGTTCTTTTGTGAAATATGGCTAGAAGAAATCACTTGGATGACTACATACATGGAAGAATGATCGGAAAGGTGTAGGGTAGTGTAACCTGTGTAGCTGAAGTGTTCGGAATAAACAAAAGTGTCGTTTTACGCGCTTGGAAGGCTTTCCAAGCCATAGCTGCAGGTGTTAGAAAGGTTGGTGGTAGCCGTCCAAGGAAAAAACTGCAGTGGATGACCGATATATCATCTTGCAGGGAAAAAGAACCTGAAACCAGTCAGTAAGCGCTGTAACTCAGCAACTGTTTACAGCAATGGGAGATAAGTGTCGCGGTTTACTGTTTCCAGATGCCTTCACAAAAGTAGCCTATTCCCCGCTGTCCTGAATGCTACATCCCTTTGAAAGTTGGTTACTGGTGCCACAGTTTAGAGTGGAGCAAGGAACTTAAAAACTGGATATCTCATCAATGGCATCGTGTCCTCTTTACGGATGAGAGTCATTTTAGTGCCACAAGCGATTCTCAATGCCAGTTGATTTGGAAGGAGGTCGGGACACAGTTTCATCCCAGTAACATGGCGAAAGAGACCGCTAAGTGGTCCTGGAGTTCTCGTCTGGGAAGGCATTAAGGCGAACGGGCGGACAGAGCTCCATTTTTTTGACAGAGGTTATGTAATCAGAGATTGCTATTGTCAGGAGGTGATCCTTCTCCATGTGCAGGTAACTTCATTTTTATGGATGACAAAGCACGGCCACACCGGACTTCTGCTGTTCAGAAGTAACTGGAAAGTGAAGATATCAATCGAATGGATTGGCCAGCATACTCCCCTATGATTTAAATCCCATAGAACATGTGTGGTATGCTTTGCAGAGACGCCTTAAGGCATGATTACATCCTCCGGAGACCACCCAACAACTGAAACAGATGCTGATTGAGGAATGGATTCTTACCTCAAGATCTGTTAGACAATCTGGTGCTGAGTATAGAGAGACGTTACGAAGCAACCAGTGCAGTAAGGGGAAAGCATATCCCATACTAAGGAACGTCTGCTTGTTGTTCTTCCTCTTGTATAGACAACCATGTGTAATGATACTATGAGTTCAATAAAGCCTTTTTTTGTTTGATACCATACTGTAAACATTATATTCATTTTTGCGCAACTATGCTTTCGTCATCGTTTAAATACAAAATGCTGTCTCTCATTCTGAATTTCATGTCTCTCAGATGGATTCTCGTGGAGTTATGGCAAAAGGAACATCTGTTGCTTAAGTTTCGCACACTAGTGTAATGTTTACTCATGACCCTGATTTGGGGGGGGATACAAGAGCTTTACTTAGACACATAAAAGCAATCTACCTGAGAATGAGAGTGTATTTACAGATCATTTCTAATGGAAACTGGTTTATATCTATATCACAAATGAGGAGAACCATAAAACTTCCACTCAGTCGGCACATTAGTCACCATGAACTGAACCTGGAATAAGCTATCAGCATTTCTAGAATTCAGCCACTTGACAACTGGCAAACTTGGTGTAGTAGGAAAAACCATTCATACCATAGCAAATATTTTTTTCATATGTCAAACAGCAACATTCAAATCTTTCAAAGATGTTCAATTCAAGACACATTTCAACAATTTAAGAAAGCTCATCAACTTTGAGGAGGGCACTAAAAAGTATTGATTATTACATAGCTTACATTAATGTTTATTGACAATAGATGCAATATGACAGTAACAAATTCAGATGAGTGACAATGCTTGCTTATGAACCAATCCATAAAAACCTACAGCAAAGAACTACTCATTCAAGTAGCAATGAACCTAGAAAATATAACATTCTGATGATAATGAAGTTGCAATTAAAAAATCTCACAGAGATAATAATGTCTTGAGAATTTTAGGGAAAAAAGCTTTAAAAAAATAAACATTCTAATGCATATGGGATAAAATCAGTAACAAAAGAAAGTTTTCAACATTTTAAAACTTATAAATCTTCCTTTTAAACACCAGTAATTTATCTCAGAACCTTTCACAGACAATAATATAATAATATCCTTGCCTGCAAGCACAAAGCAGATATTTTTTATAATACTAACCACTTTATTTTATCCTCATTCTCAATAACTTCTCTTACACAGTTAAAAATTAAAGAATTATTAAACGCAAACTATTTCTACAGAGCAAAAGAACACATATAAACAAAAAATTTAAAAGATTAACATATTACACTCTCTACAAGTTGAAGCTAAAATATTGTTGCTAATGTCAAACATAAAATTTTAAAAGCAGAAAATTTAACCATCTCCATCTCAAAAATATTATTATTCAGTAATCTCTTCTAGTAGAAATGCACCTTCACAAAATCTTACATATTATTAAAGTGTCAATTAAGTCATATGGAACAAAATCCCACTCATCTAAAAGAACAAGTCTGAGTTCCAGAAGGCTTCCTCCATGGAGGGAGCTGGCATACAACTAACTAACCTAGGACATCCTAGCTATGCTTAGGAGGACTGGTGTCAAGTCTGGGGGCTAATCCATTCGAACAATAAATATAATTTCTCTCCAATGGCTGTGTGATGAAAAATTACATGTTCTAGTCATTCTTCAGATGAAAGTTCACCCGAAATTAACAATTAAATGGATCACGGGCTCATCTATGAACACAACACAGCTGTAGTCACTTTAGCTGTATTGAAAATGAAGATACCATATTAAACACTCTTCTATAGCAGATTCAAAAAGTAAGATGCAAAATAATGATCCTCTTGCATAAAGACTGTGCCTTTTCTAAGGAGATGATTTATTTATTTGAATGCTAGTAACTCCTTAGATATCCAAACCTATAATTTGGGAGTTCAATAATAATTTCTTTGTACTAGCAATGGCAAGTAATAGTCTTCATATATTGCAGAAAAAAAAAAAAAAAAAAAAAAAAAAGAAGAAGAAGAAGAAGAAGAACTAAGTGTTTGCATAATCAAAAATTGTTTCCAGATTAAGATCAGACTTTGGAGAATATTCAGCTCTCTGGTGTTACCTTACTGCATTTGATCTGTCTCAAATCGATCAGTCAGTCGCAACTTTCAGCCTTCAGGTAAATAAAGTCCAAGACATAACTAACATCAGCTGATCACTTTCACACTTACTATATTTAATCAAATGTGCATGTTGTCAAACATATTTCCTTTTATGATTTGCTTCTATTTCTCTAGTTTATGTATTTTATATGCCAATACCAGCATAATAATAGGATTTTCAGTTGTAAATGAAATAATTATGTTCAGCGGAATTTTAATGTCTTTGTATAATTAGCACACTTTTTTAAAATTACCTTTTACTTCTGAACACAACAATGTAGTTTCCCTTTCTTATAAGCAACAGCTAATAAGTGTGCATGTCTTCTAATGCCCCCCTTTTTTTTTAAATCTTGGCAAACATAATAAATTTTAATTAATGTAATGAGTGACTCTTTCTTATTTTATTTTTCTGTATGATGTTTAATGCTCTGTATAAGACCTACATTTCTTATAGTATAACATGACAATTCCTTTTCATTGGCATTTTAAATGTCTCAGAAAAAGATTTAAATGAGCTTCATTTTTTCTTAAATTATTTAAGAATTTTTAAAGTTAGCATTTATGATTCCATCATTATCTGCTACTAATCACAACCCTTTTTTAAATTTCATAATTAATCTGTATCTCAAGTACAGAAATGCAGGTCAAAATGCTTTATATTATGCATGTCAACGTACTTTAGAACTTATTGTCTATATTATTTAATGCAAAAATATTCAAGTATTAAGCAGGAAATCATTCCTAGACAAATGATACAAAGTCAAAATAAAATATTTCTAGAGACAAAATCTTTATATATATAAGCAGCTAAAGTGTGTGTCGCTGATAGTTTATTGTTGCCACTCCGAAAAATGAGCGTGGAAATAAACGTTTCGGCAGTTTTTAATTAATATCTCGGCCGATTAAAGTTGTACGAAGATGAGAACGATATCGATGGGATCGGAGAATTTTTTGGAATCCGAGGATACGCGTCTTGAATTTTAACTCGGCGTGTTCCGTAGATATTCAAGAAAAAAGAATTTGGCATGTAGCCAAATCCAAGAAAGAAAGTGGAAAATGTAGGGAAAAATTAGTTTTTAATTAATATCTCGGCTAATTAAAGTCCCAAGAAGATGCGAATGGTCAAAATGGCGTGCCACGGACCTGCGGAATCCAACGGTGTGCTTCGTTAAGCTCGGGAGCCAGCCATTTCAGAGAAGATAATGTTACTTCACCCCATATATATATATGCGGCTTAAGTGTCTGTTTGTCGCCTATAGTTTATTGGTTGCTTGCGTAACTGTACTAGCCAATGGGGTGAAGTTGCCACGGCACAGGGTTGCCATTTCAATTGAGACATAGACAATTTCCTGTAAAACTTGCCTTTGCTATGACTATCAATAAGTCTCAGGGCCAAACGCTTAAGCGTGTTGGCATTTTTTTACCAGAGCCTGCATTTGGACACAGTCAGCTTTATATTGCCTGTTTAAGAGTTCGTGAAAGAACGCATGTAAAATTAAAAATAATTGATGGTCCTCAGCAAGGCGAGCTTAAAAAGGATGGAAAGATCTACGCAAGAAATGTTGTGTACAAAGAGATCTTTGACATGTGAATTAACATTTCATTATTTTAAATTACCTTTATTGATTGAGCTGGCGATGGTTCTTAAAAAATGTATCGCCAGTGGTTTCCTTCATTATAATCTACTTTAAGCAATTAAGCAAGTAGCAGGGAAAAGCCTGTGGAGCAGTAAGCAAAGGGGCGTCCTCGCCGCCTGCCCTGGGTAATTCAGTTTAAATTAACAAACACCTTTCCACAAATCATTTTAATTACAATTTATAATATCTAGAACACCGGTCGTTTCGTATGACCGCCGGGCTTTCTAGTGGTAAAATAAGTAGGGTTGCACTGGATACTTAATTTTTAATAAAAAATAAAGACCATTTTCATGAGTAGATGAAAATTTTGATATGAACAGAACTGAAATTTATGACAACTGTGGGTGATTTAAAGTTTAATATTCACAGTCATAACATAATAATGAAACGACCTTTTTATGATGAGCGATTCATTGACAACTAGAAAAATATCCTATACTACAGCATACACTGACACAGACCTCATCTTTCCCTAAGGTTCCTTTCCTGGTTGCTGCTGCTCATCCATATCGATGGCTTCCAATAGGTTCATACTAGTTTTAATAACATTTAAACTTTCACAAAAATTTGTAAAACATTACAGCTCCCCCCCCCACACAAAGATATGATCAGCTTCTTGAGTTTCTTCAAAACAATTTTGCATTTCAAATAACCAAAGATCCTTAAATGTTGAGTTTCAGTTCCTTATTCTCATAAAATTCTTTCAGCATACTTAAATTGCACTATAATTAGATTTTTACTGTTTGGTACAGCTGACGTAAACCAATGCATAGTAAGTGGTGGAAATATTGTACAGATTTTTAAACATTTCACAACTTAATACCTGTACCATTACCAAATAACTTTTTTTTTTTTTTTTTTTTTTTTTTTTTTTTTTTTTTTAAATGACAATTATGGTCTACTGATAATACTAAAACTTTCCACAATTTTCCCACTCCAGGAATATAGTGTTTATATTCTAAAATTATGAATTCATAAATTGTAGTTTATATTGTATAGTTTACTTACACAGTTTTATTTTAAATCATTTAAAGAACAACTGAAATATACATAATCTTTTCTAACTCAGAATTAAAAAATAATATATAAGAAATCAGATTTTTAAAGTTATATGTATTTTTTTAAAACTTATTTATGAATGTGTTGTTTTACTAACACATTCAGAATGATTCTGAATCTTCATATGGATATTGAAAATATTAAGGATATTGTAAATATTAAAATTAGAGAAAATTGCTCATGTGAGTAATTAAAATTGAGAAGAGACTCATGTTTGCTATTTTAGTTTATTAAAGATTAGATTAGAAGGAATTTATTAAAGTAAGGAAAAATTAATCAAGGAATGTCTCCACAGAGAAATTTCTCTTGGTAATTAGTTACATTGCACATGGGATGATCTAAAAAAAAACCTATGCATACTTTTATTTAGCCACAGAGAATTAATCTGCAATGAATTACCCATATTTTACAGATATAGCCAATCAGCCACTGAATCTAGGCACCTAAAATTATAATTTGCATTAGTTTCTATTCTGTAAAATAAAATTTCAAAAACAGCATTTTATATTACAAATAGAATGAAAATCTGATTTAAAAAATTCAAGTTATGACTCTGGGATTTCAAATTTATGACTTGTAAAAAAAATGAAATTATTTTTTCTTGGTAGTAGCAATAGCTAAATAGCTTCTGCACAGATCCTGTGATCTTAATCTCCACTTATCACCATATGCCTGTGGTAATTAGAATGCAGAAATTTTAAACAGGTAAGTTAAATTGAAAATTAACTTACAGTTAGGTATGCAGATTCCAGATGGAATACCACTTCCAGCAAATGTAAGCACATCTAAAGATGTAAAGTCTGGCCTCAGAAACTCAGCTTTTTCATATGCTTTTGGCCATGGTAAAAGTGGAAGTAAATCTTCTGCCATATTTACAAGATCAGCAAATTTGGCACTCATAGATTTATTAACTATTGCAACAAAACCTTAAAAGAAAAAATATATATATAATAGCTGAAAACTTTTACGCATTTTTAATCATATGTCATAAGTTTTAACAGCAAAATTTACAAAATGATACAAAAATATACCTTCAAATTCTGCTCTCATTCCAGCTGGATCTCTGTACGTTTCAATGAAACCAATGTAACTAAAATAATATAAAATTGAATACATAAATAAAGTACAATAACAAAAATTCTAAAATAAAAATCTTAACTTCAAAATAAATTTATAATGTTAATCACATCTCACAAGGATGTCTCAGTTAACAGATAACACATCCATAGTTTGAACATCTAATTCTACAATATACAGATACACAGCTACCAACCTTGAAATCTTAAAAACAGATAAATTTTTGCAAGAAAACTGAGTGAAATCAAAAGTTAAGAAATCACATTCATGCTGTAATGTGATACCATTTCAAAGGAACTTCAGACTGACTTTAATTCACTTTGTAATGAATGTTTCAGGTTTCTGAACTATTTATAATATAATTCCGATGTAAAATTTATTTGTATTTAATTAACCATTCTAAATTTTGTATTTTTTGGCTAAATTAATTTTTAAAATTTTCTTATACTTTTTAACCGAGAAAATCCTGAGTATAAGCTTTTAATTATCGAAATACTTTTAAATATGATAAAAATCAAACTGATAACTAATGTAGACATAATTACTGTGTGGATGAACTTAGTAATACATCATACACTAAAGTAAATTAAAATTAACTACAAATATTAACTGATTAAACATTCCACAAATATTCATATCAAAATATACAAATATCAAATGAAATTTAATAAAAAGATTAATAAGCCAATACAACTTCGATAAAATTAAGTTTAATAAGAAAAGTTATCCTGAAAACCACTAGAGATGTAGGAATGGAATTTGCCTAATTTTAAGTTTCATTAATTCAGTAAATTTAATTTATTGCTAGGAAACATTTTCCTCAATCCAGGCTAAAAATTAAAAGCTGGTCTACTGCAAGATGTGATGAAAAATCAGGAATCTCCAGGTTGGCAGTTATGCAGATAATTAACAATTCAATATTAAATTAATGCATTTTAATGAAATATACAACTTAAATATAAGCAGTTCTTTATTCAATATTCTTCTAATATGCCAGATACATACAGTATGCAGTTTAGTTCAATAACATACCATTAAATTTCACTTAAGACATATTTAAAACTGAAAGTTGATAGTTGAGTTATTTATTATCGAAAAGCATTAAATCATTTAACACTACTAAATTTCAGAAATAATTTGAACATTCATATTAATCACAGAACAATTTGTGCAGGTTTTCTCAGAGCAATACTGTTTTCAAGCAACTACATGATTTTCATACAAAATGAAACGAAAATATTTATTTTAAAAAGTATTATATTAAATTAAAAATTATTAAGACTGAAAATTAAATTATTAACAACATATAATGTAAATATGTAAAGTTAATAACTATGATAAAAATGACATAAAAGTAACTCATAATCAATAATTACTTCAACTTCAAAAATACAGTAAAATGCTTAATCTTTTGTTTTTCCCAGTAGCTTAAAGCAAATTGAAAAATAATATACATATTGTTTCAAATTATATTAAAATAAAGGCAATAAGATATTTGATGAAGTGTGCTGTGTGAATAAGTATATTTATTCTAATAATATATTCAGTGAATAGAATCTTGAACCATATTCAATTGATACAAGGAAAGAAGGAGATTTTTTTTAACTTTTTCTAAATTAAATATTCCAGTTTAAAAAAAAAAATTTAATTTTGTCAATTTTGAGTTTCCTTTCAGAGAGACAAATATGCAAACATGTTTTTTTATTAATTAATAAAACATGGGCATATGAAAAGTGCTGAACTGATTTATCTACTATGCAAGTTAATTTTAAAATGTGTCCAAAAGCATGCTAATTTTTAAAACATAACGAAATGCTTTGTAAAGAATATTATGAATCCATTAAGAAATACGTCCCTCTATTACATGAAATTCATACTACTGCCAAGTACAAAACATAAGAATTTTGGAACAACCAAGATTATGTTTTTATAAATTTTATTTAGATTTTGTTTTACAGAATAAAATTAAAAACTTTTAATGTTAAATTACGGACATAAGTTTACAAATGTGTAAGATTAATGTCAAATTAGTATTAAAATAACATAATAGTAAGATAGTTTGTGGGAATACTGGAGGTGGGTGAGGAATGTCATAAATTCTGAAAGACCTATTGCAAAGTTTTATGGGGTATGCAAAAGTCTTAAAGGGTATAGAAAAGAAGAAAAAAAAAAAAGTTTTACGAAAATTTGATTAAAATATATTAATATTTCATACATCTTACGAAATTCTGAACTCTACCTTTCAACTACTGGGCCCTTATCCTTGATCCAGAAACGAGAGCCATCTTTATGAGCATCAAGTGAACCTGTTCGAAAACTTTGTACGTATTTTTCTAACATTTTCACTTCATTTTCATTTGCAGCATATTCCTGCAAATAAATTTTAAAGGATTAAATATTTATATTTACAAATTTTTTAATTGCTTTTTAGCCTGCAAAAGGCACCTCTATGTTCTAATGACAATTCTCTCAACATTTTTCATCAGCTATTTATTTGACACAGTAATTTCCTATTCTCTCAAATATAAATATGTATATTTCATATATAAAAAGTTTTTTTAATTTGTCTTTCATTCATTTACACATACAGTTTCAAAACTTGCTTTTAAACTGAAATTTTTAGTGACGCTAATTATACATATTTTTTTATATATGTAATTGATATTCTTTCTATAAATTAGTGCTAATCAAAATTAAAGAAGGAAATTAAACATACCATCTGTTAATTTAAAAGTCGAACAACAAAAATCTGCGTTATATTTTCAAATTGCGCTTTTGCAGCTGAGGATGATGGTGCGGTAAAACCATCGAAACTAGTCCCATGAAAATTTGAAAATATAACGCTGATTTTTGTTGTTTGACTTCTAAATTAATATTTGTTTGGCATGTTATTGTATCTTAATTATACCATCTGTTGTTCATGTTATAAACATTATCACAGGAATATGTACATCAGCACACATTCAGATAGTAATCTTAATTTATATGCATTTTGCAAACTGCACAAATAGCATGATATTTTGATAAAGAAAGAATGATATTAGCAGTTACAGCTCTTTGGTTACTGTAGGAATACTATTGTACAAATTGCTGCCATTTTCTTGTTATCCACGTTAATTTTACTATACAAAATGTTATTTAATCATCATTTTCATCTCAAACTACTAAAAAAATTATAAAAGCTTGATTAGGTATGTTCATAGCACTAGTTAAATGAATGCATGTTACATTTTATTCAGATTCAATTTACTAACAGACATTATACTTCAGCATAATAATTGAATTGGTGAGTGAAGAGACAGTACTAGTCCAAGAAACTCATTCTGAGATATTTGCAGAAATACTTTTGTTTTCAAATACAACAAATACAGTTTACATTATGATAAGGGAATCTTTTTTAAATTGTCAGCCTGACCCATAAGAATGTCTTTATTTGTAAAATTATTTTTTCACATTTTAAAAAATTTTTACATAAAATATTAATTATTGATGGACATGTATCAACTTTTCACTGTTAACAATAAGACTACAATATAGAAACAATATTTATGAAAATATGTTAAACATCCTTGATATTAAACAAAGTTATATACAAATTATTTAGTAAGTAAATCAATACTAGGCCACTCAAACATGTGAAAAACTTAAAAAATTCAATAAACACAAAATATTAAAAAATTAGTCTTCATATTTCACGATAGTTTTCCAAGTAGGTATTCCATTATAGAATGCTAATGCTTCATTAGGCACATATTTTATCAACTTGACGATACCTCGAGTTTTTTTTTTTTTTTTTTTTTTTGTTTATTGCAACAGGTTCTGTGTAGGCTTGGTTTACCAGTAAAGTTTAGTTCCTTTGTTTTTGACCATCTTGAATGTTCTAGTCTTAAACCCTTTGATGAAATCGTATATTTTAACATAACTTGAATGGCATTGTTGTAAACAAACATTCTGTACTCGGATATAGTAAATATTTCCTTATTCTCCTTATTTATGTCTTAGTATTGATTTATTTTCTTGTACACAGTAGGCCACCAATTCTTAAAGTTTACTATGTCTTCATACGTTACTTGTTTTCAGTGTAAAAGGCTTGTTTTTTTCTAAAAGTAGTGATCATGCCTTCAAATTCCTAAGGTATCATGTTTCCTTATGTTCTTTTTCATCATTTCAAAATCCTTGTCACAAGACAGGTAGGAATACCCTCGAACAGGAAAATAATGATATACAATGTTTAACCGTTTGCTCACCTGCAAAGCTGCTGAAAATCTCACAAATGTGTGATTTTGGTTCTGCCCTGGGCACGTGTCTGAAAACAGGTATTTTCAATTTAATATAGTCATTAAGGAAGGTACACACCTGATTAGAGCCTTTGTGAACTTGTCCTTCATGATATACATAACAGTGTCCTGAAATTTCCTTAGTGTTATGGATTTCAAAAACACTAACCTACAGTTGTCTATAGTAAAAGACATCTTGAACAGGAAGTTCAGGCAAAGGTAACTTCTGCATGAAGTTAAAGCATAGAGCTGACTCATGCAGTTTTTCTTCACAAAGTTTTGCAACGTCTCCAGTTTGTTATAAAATTTATTAACATGTCGTTTATGAACATAACTCTGAGCTATAACGACACTTTTTGCACCAGCATTTAAATTCTTATCCCCTTCTTGCTCCTAAATGCTCACAATCCAAACAAACATCCACATGAGGCCTTCCAAATTTTAGATCATAATTTTCATTAAATTACTTCAAATAATACTCATATTTAATACTATTTTTCAAATCAGGATGCATGCATTGACTTAACATTCAAACCACTATGTGAATATTTCATGGTTTTAGATGAGTAGTGTGAAGTTTTCATTGGAAGTGACTCGGTGTGTTCTTTGATTTTGACTAGATACTTGTCTTTAATAACATGAGGTCCATTGTTGTGTTTTCTACAGGCAAAGATTGGAGATTTGCCCAATAAAAGGATGGTCATCAAATATTGAACCTGGATATGCGAAACAGTATATAAGCTCATAAATGCTTGTTTGCAAACAGGAATGCAGTCACACCCTTTCATTGCAAAATAAGAAAAATTACTCCCTCTTGGTTTCGTGTTCTCTTCAGATCTTGATCGTCATCTTTTCCCAAGTTTACTCTCTATTAACTCGATTAGAAATGTCTTTTTCATTTTTCGAGTGTCCTGCATACAACAATCTACTAATGATGATACTTTCTTCATCATCAAAAGAATTTTTCATGCAGAGATACTTACAAGATCAATCTGGCCCTGTAACTTTGGCCATAACATGTTTACCTTTTATGTTGACGTGAGCAGCACCTTCAAGATGGGCTTTCTTCTGAGGATCAGCTTTGCGTTTCTTCCCCCTCTTTTTTGATATTCAAATTCTTCCAAAACAATGATTATTGCTTGCTTTTAAAGTTTCTAATGTTAAGAATTCTTGGTTGTATTTTTGAATTCCTTTTACGTTAAGTTAAAAATGTCATTTGGAAACAAAATAATTATGCATGCTAAAATTGCTGCACCGCATAATGAAGGATTCTCTTGCAGTCAAACTGCTATGAAATCTAGCCTTCATCATACAATAGTTAGCACATGCATTAGTAATTTCAATCTAAATAGAAATGTGGAAGCTTGGAGGAAAACTTGAAGGCCATGGAAATGTGCATACAAAATGACTAAAATCTGATTTCTTTCTCTTTAAAAGATCATTCTGATAGTTGTGAAAAACTGATGCATTAATGACAAATAAACTATTCATTGATGCTTCCATATAGACTATAAATCAGAGACAGAGTGAAAATGTGTTGAGAGCTCATATGCTTGTTAAGAAATCTTTTGTTAATAAAAAACAAAAAGTTCAAACAGCTACCTTGGATAAGTGATCATGTACAATTAGGACAATGTAACAGCATAAAGTTACCTACAGTGATGAAATAATATTTTCTTCGACACCCAATAAAAGAATATATTTGTATGACGCAATCACAATGAAAGATATAAACTATACTGTACCACAGCAACAGTAAAACATCCTACTATGGTTATGATAAAAGGTTATATCTCAGTACATTAAGTGGGCTGTTTTTACATCACAGAACAAAAAAAAAAAAAAAAAAAAAAAAAAAAAAAAAAAAGCTATAATATATTAATTATAAAAATCTACAACTTTACAACTCTTTATCTATTTTTATGTTACTAAATCAAACAGCGATAAAATATTTTAAAAAAGTGAAAATAGAAAATGGTTAGTTTATCAGTATAAAAGGATTTATGCTTACACACATATAATGACTAATGAAATGGTCTGCTTTTAATTGTACCTTAAGAAAACTATTGTCTTTCAGTATCACTTAGAAAATGTTCATTTAGCCAAATCAATCGTGTATTAAGTCACTTATGTAAATACCCTCAGTACAGAAAGTACAGAAATAAATCATATCTTCAGCACCTAATATTATTTCTTTGCTAAATTTATAATTTTGAATAATAAAGAATAACAACTGTATGTTATACAGTTGACCCCCCCCCAATAATTGAACTGGAAGTCTGATTCTCTGTATCTGACTATATAAAAACAAACAAATTATCTTACAAAAATATAAAAAATTACATGATGAATAAAGGGAGAAAAATTATTAATCTTGTCACGTAAAGACCTTATTTTATTCTAAAAAATTATTTTTAGTTTGATTTCTCTTTCTCTCCTGATAGCAGTATTTAAGCTGTGGTTTCAAGAGTTTGAGAGTAGTAGCAGAGTTAGTTCTGAGTTTATGCTGCATGTTTGGAAATAGCTCTATAGTTAGTGTTAGCCACCCTCTTCAGATTATATTGATATTCTAGGTCAGCTTAGCTGTGTGCAGCTGATAGATAAATAAAGAGCCAGTCATTTAAGCATCTTAATTTAATGGGATTTTAATTTTTATTTTCTGTTTGAGTTACTCAGCCAAATGTGCTGGTAATTGTGACTGCTGAGTGAGAGCAACCTTTGTTTAGTTTGAATAAAATGATTATTTAAACTTTTTTTTGCAGTATCTGTTTTTCATAGTGAGAATTCGCAGCGAAGTCTTTGACGTAGGGTCTACTGTGAACGCTCTTAAAAAAAAACACGAAGACTCTATAGTCACATGCACCACATACACACACACACACAACAACAACAAAAAAAAAAAAAAAAAAATTTAAATTGTTATTACATATGCAGTTATTAATTTTTTTCTTTCTTCTTTTCCCCCTTTCCTTTTCCAGTCACTACAAATTAACTGCAAACTCACTGGCCGAAGTATTTGTCTGAATAATTTGCAGGTTATGGCTTCTTTGAATGGCAAACCAACTCAGCAATGCTTCTTCAACATCCTTATGCTTCACCTTTGTCAACTTTTTCCTTATACCCAAATTTTTTCTATGGACAAGTGCTATAGTTTTCATTTTTTCATGTGGTACCAACTGTAGGTTACAATAAACTGCACTGCGGGCAGATCAATTTGGCTGATCCATTTTGTGTTTTTCGAATAGCATTCACCTTATTTTCAATGCAAACGTTTTAGACATATAGCGCTCTGTGGGTGAATTTTTGAAATATAAAAGAGTGCAGATAGAACAAAGAACTTGTGAGAACATACATTGGTTAAAGAAATCGTGAGGGTTTTACTCTTCTGGTAAATATGAAAAGGAAGATAATTTTGTTGTGTGTTGCCTCTGACATTCAATAAAAACGCAATCATTTCTCTCAAGGTATGTTTGGTTGCAACCCAAAGCTTTAAAAACCTTTACAAATAATATCTTATGTCTTAGAAAAGGCCTAAGGAATGTAAAACTCCTGATTTACACTCGAGCAACACAAACTGAAAAGGATGAAAACTGTTCATTCCCAAAAAGTAGAAACAGCTGCAAACACTTAAGTTTCACTACTTCGTCTTTCCCAAAACACAAAAAATTTCCATCATTGCAGCCTTGAATAGAATTCCATCTCTCAGCTCAATCATAGAAGTGAATGGAGTAAAATAACCCTTTCACACTTTTTGGTTCAGCTGTGATGTATGCCATAAGATGTCCTAAGGTATTCTTATTGTATCCACGTTCTAGATTTGGGTGCCACACTTGCCTTTGTTCAGAACAGTGGTTCTCAACCATTTTTGCCCCATGCACCCCTTTCACCATTGCCAGATGAACATTCCCCCCTTCCTTTCTAAAACTCAAAAAATATATATACATTTATTTAAATTTACACTTTTTAAAATGTGTTTTGTAAATTACACAAGAAAAAGTATAAAAAATTGATAAATGCAAAAATTTGAATAAAAAGATATTTTTATATTCATAAACCAAAACTGAAAAAGGTTGACTGCATTCCTTCCCATTCTGGCTGAGAATTCCTGATTTAGAACAAAGAAAAATGAAGGGGTGAAGATAAGAAAAAAATAAAGCACTGGTGCTTTCATTTACATATGGAGTATCAATTCTAATAACATTGATAATTTTAATGGTGGTTATTAATTTTTTTTTTAAGTTTGCAGAAGCTCTAGAAAAATATTAAAAATAGTAAAAAAGATTTGTTTGATGACATCTATACAGTTTCATAAGAATGCAAAACAACATTAAGTGTACAAGAAACTGGATAAGACCACAAGATTTGTTTGTTATATCCAGGGGTTCATTACAAGCCAGGTTTGTCTTAGCAGGGTTTGACTCTATTTAGTCAAATATCATTTGGATTTAAAAAATAGCTCAAAATGTACTCTTTTAATAAGAAAACAGTCATTACCTCACTTTTTGCATGCAGCAGTTACAAATCTATATTTGCTACATTTTAAATCAAAAAATAAATAATAATGACAGTTTTGAAATATGTAGCGACAAATGATACATCCTGAAACCTCTCACAGCAATCACCACTGAGAATGATCTATATTCTTGGAAACGTAATTAAACAACAGTATTTAATATCAGACAGTTGTGCAATATGGTAAGATAGTTATTTCAGTAAGGAATAGTAAAATTTGAAAAACAAGGACATGTAAAAATTCTACTAGAAGGATTAATCATATAAATACCTTAGCTAACAACAAATACTTGTTGACAAATTCTAACAATTTGCTATAGTCACCTCGAGTAACCATAAATTTATGTCCATTCACAGTATGAGCACTGACAAGATGTTTTTCTTCTTCATCATCTGAAAATAATCATTTAACACAAAGAAGTCACATTAACTAGTATTTGTATAAAAACAATTAGATATATGTGTGCTAATTTAGAAGTTGGCATTAATACAAGAAACATTATATATATATGATGATTTATAAGTTGATGCCAAAATAAAGCATAGAGCATGACTCATGAAATGATAGAATTTGTTACATAAAAGATGTAGCAGATGTAGTGGCCAATTAAACACATTCTTCTTTATACTTGAGGAGCACTATTTTCATATGAATTACATACATTGTAAAAGGTGTAATCTACAAGCCTGTCTTAATTACATTTGTATCTTTTCTACATCATATGGCAACAGGATTGTGATGACTAAACTGCAACATGTTCACAGCCAACAAGCCAAGAGAAAAAATGCTGTTTGTTCAAGATGAAAGCTTTGGGAAAGATGTAATTTCATCTATATTTTACAATTTTCCTATTAGCTATTAATAAAATGTCTCAGTTCCAACTGGAATCTTATTCACTGAAGCATTTATACAAGTGTCTGCATCTACAGCATATTATATAGCATAGAATTATATAGTACAGATTAATTTTGAAATGACACAGTTTAGAGATTTATTATAAGGAGTTACTAAATTTTGGACAGAAAGGAGAAATAGCCAAATTAAAACGGGGAGCTGAAGTACTACTGCAAATTAAAGTTAGAATTTTACTTCACACATTTTTTTCTTTTAAATCTTACATATAAACTAAGAACAAGAAAAGGTAGCAAGTCCATGCAAATCTGAAATTAAATAACTCACTAAAAGCTGCAGTAAATTAAGAGGCAATAATAAAATAAATTCAAGTTCAGTGCATAAATTCATATATATATATATATTTTTTTTTCCAGAACAGCAAGAAATTAATACAACAGAGTACAAATAAATAATACTGCTGAGTAAAAACAAGAAAATAAAATTAACATTGCTGAGTAAAAACAGAGTAAAACCCAGTAAATATAAGCAAAACAACACTTCTTGCAAGAGTTCATCACAATAAATAGTCATGTGTCTGAGTTATTAAGGAAAAATTTAATAATGCAAAGTAATTTTTATTAAAAATAAAATAAATAAGGGAAATAAAGTTAAATTGGAATTGGGCTAGAATGTAATGCATGTGTTAGTTGGTGGTCATTCAATTGAACAAGTCTTGCAGATATCAAACACTGTTTCTTGTAAATATATGTAATAAAAACAACATTTCTTTTACTGTATTTTCATATTCTACTACACAATGTATTACAATAACTTATTTTGCCATGCTCTGGGTACTTTTAAGCCTAAAACAGAGAATCCAAAATGAATAATCCTAAATACATGAAGCTGGAACAGTAATTTCAATCAATGTTTTAATAATTACCTATGTTATATAAAAACCCGGAGAATCTGCTTCTAAAATGGGGAAACAAGTAATCCAAAACCTATACACAGATGTTTTAACTCAAAACTTTGGAAGTATTAATTTTTATGTCCAACAGAAGCTTCTGGTAAAAAAGAACATAACTATATTTAAATTTCAGTGGTATGTGGTAACACTGAAAGTTCTCTAGCTGATCATTACTGAAGGCAAGATGTATAAATTCAATTTAATAAATATCACCTCATGCACTGAACACAATGCTGTTTCCATATGTCATTGAGCTGAACCTGCAAAGGATTCCTATCAATCATTCAACTGCACTATACTGAAAAATCTGGAATCCAAGTCTTGAACAGTCTAAATAGTTTTGGGTATAGATAACCTTAAAACTACTTACAGGTCCTGGGCAATAGAAAACTCATTACTTAAGGACACCTAAAATCCTTCTAACCATGCTATAATCAGAAATAATTTTTGAGAAATTTTCAAAACATAAGACATGCTAGTTTACAAAACATAAAGCAGATTGGAACCAGTATGAATTTGAATCTTACATACTCTTTTCAAAGATCTCTTTCCCCCCCTTCATCTTCTCTTTTTTTTTTTTTTTTACTTTCTTTCTTTCTTTTTGTTTCTTTAGACAAAAATTTAAATTAAAATTTTCTCTTTTTATAGATTATCCTAATGAAATTCAGAATTTAGCACTTTATAAATTCTTAAAACAAAAAGAGGGAAAAATAATTTTCTTAATTCTACAGAGAATCTGTCACTTTGTGTTTAGTGTCTACATTAAATATTCAAGTAATCTCCTCTCCCCCACCTCATTTGCTTTGATTTAAAAAGATTCTATGAAAACGCAAAAAAAAAACTGAACAAATACTCAAATATTTTTGCTAAATTAAACCAAGAACATGAATGCCATGATTCAGTAATTTTAATTATGCACTTCATTTATAATATTTTATTTACATAAATATGCATATTTAATTATTGCAATTAAAACAAGTGAATTTTTAAAAACTCTTTTAAATTTCTATTACATTAATTACAGCTTTCAAAATTTGTTTTAATTAAAACTTATTATTAAGTTTTTTCCCGCTTATTAATCTTTAAAAGGTTTAAAAACCTCCTAGGATCTGGTCCCAGACTCAAGAAACTTAAAAAATTATTCAATCTCTTAAAAAATAAATAAATAAAAAGAAGAAGAAGAGGAGGAAGGAAGAAAGAAAGAAAAGAAAAGAAAAAGGGGGGAGAGAAAGAAATTTGAATTTTATATGAAAAACACCAAAAAAAAATTTATATGAAAAACATGTACTGCAAAAATTTATAATTTTCAAGAATATGCATATTTATTTTATTTAATAATTAGAATATTTTACATATTAATCATACAACATTACATACAAACAACTATTTAACTGTAACACATTAACATACCAGAATTAGAAAAACATCAGTAATTAATTTTTGCTGGTCAGAGCTCTTATAACATTCTTTAAACATATTACTTTTACATTTTGCTACAAGAAAAAAATTTTACAGTTTGATAACCTTAAAGTAAAAGTAACAAATTTGATTCAAAGTAAATCATTTAACTTTGTAGTAGATAAATAATTTAGTTTAAAGTAAGCTTTGCCACTTTGACGTCCATGATATAATTCTTGAAAGTATTAATGCAGTGTTAGCGAATGCATATTCAAATATGTTACTTTTGGAGATACTTTTATAAACAAGTAATATCTTTTTTTGAGAATGATTAAATCTCAAGGTTTTGTTATATTTTCAAAGCAAAAGAAATGTTTTTTTAAATACCTGCTATAACCCAACTATTCTTAAACTAATATGATGTAGAATATTTCCACCTCCAAGAAAAGTAGCATCACTTCCACAAAATATATATGCTGGTCATTAATGTGAAATAATATGTACTCAATTTAATCTGCCTAAAACATACCATTTTAAAATTGATTAAACTTACCTGTTTGTAATATAGATGCCAATTTAATTTCATAACACACTTTACCAGTTTCATCTAACGTCTTGAATAATCTTGAATTAAAGACTTCAATATTCTATGCAGAACAAATTGATAGTTATGTTCTTAAAGACACATTTTTTACATATAAAATGGCTCAACATATAAAACAGTGAAAATAGTAACAACAGATACAAAATTCAAATACAAATATAACAATAAATTACAATAATTATAATAATCTTTTTGATTATCTGCATTCCCTAATGAAAAGCTGCTAAAAATATTCATTAAGCAATAGCCTCAGTAGTTAGCAGTATATAGCCAAAATGGTTATATGGCAAACTGCTATGTCACCAAAAAGAATTCACATGGTAACCCAGGCATGCATCTAGCACGTTTGTTTTGGCAGATGTGCAATACTTTGATGGTCCTTTTGTACTATATGTTGTACATATTCTCTTTATAATTCACATCTATAGTCATGTAACATGTTATGTATTTTCTCTTAAATAGCTGTGTTATTGTATTGCACCTTTAAAGTATTATACCCTTGCACTTGTTTCTAACTTATATGCTGTGTATTAATTTCCAGAGAAGTTAGTTACCAGCTTGGACGGCTTTCACCAGAGATGCTTAATTATTATTTATTGCTTTCGTACTCTTCTCATGCACATCAATTTCAAAACTCTACAAACCTTAAGTTAGAAATTGCATAATTTTAAATATTTTTTAGTTTATTCAAAATTTTTACATTAAGTTTTGGTTATTTTAACTGCATATATTAAGAAAGTACTATATTGTTTGATTAGGGGTAAAGTCTCTGAACTAGATACCCTGGTGTTACACCGATCCTCCCACGAGAAGTGCCAAAGCTGCACAATGAGTTCATGGAATTTTCTGATTTTTTTAAGTAAAAAATAGATTGCTGTGTACATGGGGGAGAACAACACTGCAGAGTGAAAGATTTCTCAAAAAAGTAATTGTTTTATTACTGCTGTTTCTGGCTTTTTAAATTTTATTGACTGACTGAATCAGAAAGTGCTATTATAATAAATAATATATTTATTTTTACTCAAAACCGATAGTTTTTAAATGAAATTCTTTACATAGGTTCCTCTGAAAAAGAGGGCATATCTGACATTATAGTTAACTATTTTCTTAACTTTGAGCTAAAGCTTCCAGAGATTGAGTCATGAATAATAGAATATACTTTGTAAGATACAGTCTGTGAAAGTAATGATATGAATTTTATGGTGGTTATTAATATTAATCACACATACTCTAGAGATGTAGAACATAAAAAAGCTTAATACTACAGAAGAAAACTTGGTTTAATAATATTAACAATACTTAAAATCATTACTTTTATGTATGTACAAGCAATCATAAAATTCAGAAATGAAGTTTCACACGATATTTTCATTACTTAAGACTTGACCAGTTTTTCTATGGAAGGGGAAAAAAATTAGGATAATGTTAAATAAAAAATTAATATTAAAAATCAGGATAATGTTTTTTAACAAGTATAAAAAATTAATATTCTGAAAATGAAGCAATGTACAATACCTGGATTAGAAGGGTTAATCAATAACTTGATTCACACATTCATTTTCATTCATCCACCTCGTTCAGCCACACACTTATGGACTTTCACCAGCACCAGATATCCTTGCTATTGCATGAATGAAGACACAATTTTGGAAATAACATTTTGAAATTCTCTTTTAAAAATAACCAAGGTATTTAAATTTGTGCCTTCCGTTATGCAGGAAAGCACTACAGTGAGGTGAGATTTTTTGTGACCTATTGTATTTATTGAACCGGTTTTTATTTCTTTCACATCGTTTTATTTCCTATCATATCAAATATTATTGGAGTTTCATCCATATTTCCAATATGTGACAGTAAATAATTTTTTTGCCTTCTTAGGTCAGTAACACACTTCTGGAAGCTTATCAATTTGTTGTTCAAATCTTTCAGAAGCTTCACGAAACTTGTTTTTTCTCATAAAATAAATTATTCCATGGCATAAATAAACTACACCAACTCAAGCAAATAAATGTCAGCTGTTTCTTGTTACAATTAACCCATTCTGGCGAGTTTCAATGACCCAGTTTGAAACACCCACCTTCTAGGAAAGGCCATTTCGTTACTCCTTTACATGAAGCACATTACTCTTTGGAACATTAATCACTGTGATTTCATTTTCCACACACGTATGGAGCTTTCCCAAACACAAGACATCCTTGCTGCTGCATGATTTCCAGTTTCTTTTGCAAACTGAATGATTTAAATTTGAAACCAGGCACTATTTTATTTCATTTGGTTTGAACCATATTTACTATTAAAAGGAATACTGGATTAACTGTATTTCAACTAAAGCAAATGCATTTTACTAACTTCTTTCATGTTAAAATTAACATTTGAATTAACTCTTTCTGTAAACATCTGAAGCTGTAATTAAAAAATTTTTTTAATGTTTACAGAAATAGAAAACAACCAACTCCTAATTCCCCAAATTCATTCGGGTCAGAAGTGCATTCTTACAATAAATTACATTCTCTACTTCTCGAAACACTAGAATATCATTATACACATCTACATTGAAAACAACCTAACCTTTTTGCAGAATTATTTACTCCCTCAAGCATTTCCCCAACACAATATTGATTCCCATTATTGCTTGTAAATTCAGTACACCACTTTTAGAAAATCGGCAAAAATCATCAAATGAATGGCTTCAAAAGAAAAGAGCATCACACATGTATCTTTCAGGTTTCTTCATAAAGAAAGGGGTGCGTGTTATATGGCAAACACACCGAAAAAATAAGAAACGTGGTTTGAAATTATAGATGCACGTTATACGCCGGAATGTATGGTAAATAATGCATGAATGTTGCTCATACTGTGAAAAAACAATGGCACCTTGAGACATCAAATTTTGAATAACACAGTCCTCCACACAAAGACAGGCACCCGGAAGCCCGAACTTTGAATTTCATGTTTGTTTTATTATTATTTAATGCATATTTTGTAAAACCTTAATATTTTTTTTATTGATAAATTCAATGATTTTAAAGCAAGCAATGGTAACACTGCAGAATAAAAATATTTCTATCTCCAGCACATAAGATTGTCCATCGAAAATTCTAAAGATATGCTGTACATAAGATTGTCCATCGTAAATTCTAAAGATATGCTATTTTTTTACATATTTTGTGATTTTGCTGGTGAATAAATTTTATGCGGCATAAGTGAGAAGAATGTGATGTTTATTAAATAAAGTAAACATACAAAACGTTAATAATAAAAGTATCTTCTTAATAAGAAAAATTGAACATTGATATCATGAACTGAGAGTGTCTTAAAAAAAAAGTATGCCAGCACTTAGTACCGCATTAGGAATTCTAAACATATACTGCTATGCCGTTTTTAAAATTTTTGTACTTTTGCTGTTGAATTGTATATGTCGTTAAGTGCTTAACAATAAAACTAATAAGACAAAAAAAAAAAAAAACAAAAAAAAAGGCTAGTAGGAGTGAGTGTCACAGCAGACTGCAAAGTCAGTGAGAACATAAAAAAACACTTTAGGGAAATTGCTTAAATCTGAAACCTTTTATTTATTTATTTTTTTAATTCCCTTACATTTCCAGGAATTGTATTAGAATACTTCTGTATCTTCAAAATTTAGACATACAAATATGGTCTGAACTGGCAATCAACCTCTACTTAGGGTTTGGCATTTAATATATATATACACTGTATAAAAAATCCTGTTTGGTTCATACCCATTATCAGGAAATTGGGACACAATATTAATTAAAACTAAATTCGATTTCTAACAATATTAAAATATTTAGTAACCTAGGAAACTGATTGCAGGAAAATAAATATAATAAGTTGGTAAAATTTAACTTTGCGTGTATATATTCATACTGCCGATTTCTTGCATATCAATATTTATGACCTGAAGAGAAAGATTTTTATCAATATTAGAAAAACTGAACAAAGTACTTCCGTGTTTGATATTTATGAGTAACCCTGTTATCCTAATATCTTCATTGCCACAAAGACCAGCAGGCAGTTAGCCTTTGCATGTTGGCTAAATTTCAAAGGAAAATGTAAAACCCATGTCTTTAAAAAAAAAAAAAAAGCATGGAGATATTTCTGCCTTTGAATAACATTCATGCAGTAATTTAAGAACTAATTTACTGTATCAAATTTAACAATTTTTGTTAAACTGTTGAAAAATTTCGGATTTGCAAACTATTTTTGGCTAAAATAAAACTTCCCAGGCAGTAGTTTACTCAATGGAGATCGAGGCTTCTTCGCTGCCAATTTCTTTCTTCTGCCAAATCCTCCCAGAAAATTTGAAGTGAAATTTTAAATGAAAATGTGTACTATTGCGGCAAAAATTTTTAATTTAGACAGCTAATGTGTAGTATTGCAATAGCAATAATAAATTGGAAATATGTCAATTTATTATTATTACCACAACAGTGCATTCTAAATTTCTATTCTAAAACTCTTTACCTTCTAAATTTCACTTCGAATTTACTACGAGATAATTTCCTTTATTTTTCCTATAACTATTTATATATATGCACATAAAATTATTTGCACATTTGAAATTTCATATTACTTGTACCATGATGATATGTATAGACTGCAGTTTTATTGTTATACAGTTGATTTATAATAAAAATCAGTATTCAGAATGCTAAATGGCTTCTGATGATAAGGTTAGATTATTTAATTACGGCAAAGCCTTGAGAGGCTATCTGCCTAAAAGCAGGGATACCTTCGTGGAGGACTTTCTAAGGGAAACTGGCTCGTATACACATTACACATGGGGAAAACCACGAAAACACCCATGCAGCTGGCCTGTTCGTGGGATTCGAACCTTGGACCGAACTACCAGTGTTTAGCGACTTTACCGTTCGGCCGCTGGCGGGCTGCTTCTGATGATAAAGTCTCTTTTGTGCAAAGTTTACTCGATTTACAAAATACTTGGGGGGGGGGGAACTTCAATCTGCAAATTTTTCAATCAAAATATTTACCTATTAGAGAAAATAATAAAAGTAATTTAAGGAATACTACATAACTGATTTAAAATGTACATAAACAATGACACAACATGAACTTTTTTCCAGTTTAAATTGCACTAGCAAAATTTAAGTTATTGCAAAACTCATAGCTATATGCAAGAATTTTGTATAAAAAATCATTAAACAACCACTGATCGATGATTTTTTACACAATTTCACAAACTGATTCCAAATAGTCACAAGTTACTGACAAAAATCAGCTCATCAAATCAAGATGATTCATTTTTGTCATCAACCATTCTTTGAAATGAAGAACTAAATAAATACTTGGGAAATATAAATGTCATTGCACACATAAAGAAATTAATTTTAAAATGATATAATTAACATTTAACTAGAATAAGATGAAACCTAAAATTATTATATTACCTGTTTCTTTAAGTAATCTCTAACTATATCCTTGTCTTCTTCAGCAAAATTTTTTGACAAGTAAGTTGTAGTACCCTAATAAAAGCAATCATTCAAATAAAATTTTCAACAATAACGACAATAATTTTCAACTAATGTATATATAATAATTTAATCATAATTCATGAATTCATTGCAATTTAACAAACTTGTTAACATTTGCTGAATGGATGTAACAGAATACTTGCTATAGGTAAAATGAAAATAAAAGCAAATGACTAAATATTAGATGAAACAGTATTATTGGAAATAGCAGCAAAAACTTTCCAATTCTCTAATTTCACAACAGAATCCACCCGAAACCCATTGCAGGAAAAGAACATGGCCTACATTATTTTTTCTTTTTACAAATAAATTTTCACCAATTTCTAGAATTTTGTCAAATTCAAAATCCAACAGAAATCCATTTGGGAAAAGAACATGGCCTACACTATTTTTTCTTTTTGTGAGTAAGCTTTCATCAATTTCTAGAATTTCATCAATTTTTGCTTATCCTTTTATTCCAATAAACTGTTGTATTACTATTTGTTAAAAGCAAGTTTTGGCTCACAAGACTTAACAGACATCAATTCCTAAAAGCACAAGTAAATAAATCAGTAAAAGCAAAGAATGATCACACATTTCAGTTGTGGTCTAATACCACTTTCTTCTTGACATAAGCAAAGGCTGCAAAGTCATTTCGGCTTCAAATGACATTTTAATTTTCATGAGGTGAATATTCAAATGCAATTTTCTTTTGTGATGAATATTTCTTTCTTGAAGAAAGAGAATAGCTGCTTCATTTCATGGCAACTGCCAAACTGTAAAAAATCTACCCCAGTTTAAAAAAAAATAAATAAATTAGATGAAAAATAAGGTTGAAAGGCTAATGATTGTAAACAATACAAATTTAGGACTGCTTTATAAAGGTGCCCCATCCTTATGCTGGTCAGCTGAAAAGCAGAAATTTTTATAAGTATGCATGTAATTTCTAACTTAAGGGGAAAAAAAGGAAAAAAAAAAAAAAGAAACCTTCATCAGTATATATGCACTTTTATGCTTGAGCATCCTTATGCAAATCCAATTTTCATTTGCATCATTGGTTAATTAAATTTGTAAGGATCCTTACTAACGTTGATTTTATTTTAAAACTGTACTGTCACTTCTTATTTTCTACTTCCGGCCAGAATTAAACGCTTTAACTTATTTATGCAAATTGTCTTGCTAATGCCAAGTACTTAAGTTGTAGCTTTTTGCCAAGCAAGAGAGAGGAAGGAGTTACTGGAAGCAAGCCGCTTGTCATTTTAGTTTCACGAGTTTTCACTCGGTTGCTGGTTGCATTCAGGGCCAGAGGTTTGATCCTCTTGATAATTGCAGACGTATCGTAGTTTTAGCAGCTCGGCGTACTACATACGGACCTTTGTTAAAATAAAGGCTAATCTTAATGCTAGGCACTTGTATACTAATTCAAAGTTAGTTTTAGTTAGTAGTTTTTATAGTCTTACGTTCAGACCACAAGTGGTTGGTCTCTGTATTCCGAAGTTTCGGAAATTCCTGTAAAGTCTAGAAAATAAAGGGTTTCGTATACCCTTCCTGCTTGTATTGTCTACTTCACAATTTCTTGAACATAGCTTGAGTAAGCTCCCTGTTCCGAGTCAGGACCATTCATGTTTCCAAAGCAAGTCAAAAGAAACACAGGTCCTGATAAATTGAGCAAGAGAAGAAATAAATCTTCAGACCTTCATGAAAAACAGGAACTTTGTGAAGCCTGCTCGCACCTGCTGAGTATTTTATTTACTGCAAACTGAAAAGGACCAGAATCATTTTTCAGGTTTTGCTTCTTGGAAGGATACTCTGATATTTCAATAAATTAAGCATTATTTTCACCCAAATGACAAACAAAGGAAAATAAGGTTGTAAGATTGGATTGGATTATTCAGTTATGGCAAAGCACACAAGGGCTATTTGCCTAAAGGGAGGGATGCCTTCGTGGAGGACTTTCTAGGGGAAACGAACTCGTATATACATTACACATGGGGAAAAAACCACAAAAACGCCCATGCAGCCAGCCCGTTCGCGGGACTCAAACCTCGGACCGAACTACCAGCGTTCAAATAAGGCTGTAAGAGATGAGATACATACAAGAGATGATAAGGCTGCATATAGTTTTTTGAGGGGGGATCTTGAATGAATATACACTGAATTTAATGCAATTACGTCTACCAAATATTTAATACTCTATCAAATGTTCAGTTTTTTATACATTCTATGCAATGGTTTAAATATACAGTCAAAAGTCGTTAATTCGGACACCCATAATCCGGACCTCAAAGCTAAAAACTTTCTGCGCATGCGCCGCGTTGGTACATGCGCACAGGCGTCTTACGCTTGCGCGTAAGACCTTGACTACTGCGCATATGCGTGTGCGCAAGTGCAGAATACGTTTTCGCCTGCGCGATTAATGTATAACGGACGGTGTAAGCTAAAATTATCTAATTATCTATTTCAGTTAATGTTAATGATTGCGTTGTTCCTTAATCTTCGAATTGGATCCCGCTTATTATTTTTTGCAGACTGTAAGAGCAATTTTATAAAAGTAAACTTGAACTTTTGATTATGTCAAATAGAATTTCCGATGCTGGAACTTCCAAAGGATCTACAAAACGAAAGTATGTTTCGATGTCCAACAAACAAAAAGTGGAATTGCTGCAAAAAATGGATAAAGACATGAAGAATGTGACAGAGAGGTTAGTGAAAACGAAAAAATTTCGATTGACAAGTTAGTCGGTATTCTCGGCACAGCAATTAACGGGACTTGAACAGCAGAACTTTGTAACTGAACAAGAAATTATGTTTTTTTATAGAATTAAAGAGAAAGTATTATCACATAAAATAAAGCAACTTAAACTTACTTACATTGAAAGAAATGTTTAATAAAGTAAACAAATAAATATTAAGCTTTTTTTTTTTGTAAATTTTGATACCCTTTAGATCATAATTGTTCTTTATTTCATAAATTATGGTTTCATATTTTTAATTTTAGAATTTCTGCATGCCATCTTACGAGATTTAAACTGATGATCTATAATCCGGAAACGCCGAAGTCCCGACGAGTCCGGATTAACGACTTTTGACTGTACTGGTTTTTCGTTTAGACAAAAAGACATCAGAATTTTATTTCTGTTGCTGGTAAGAGACAAGAAATAGAGACATAGAAGAGAAAATAGTTTAATATTACATTTCTAGAAATCAGTTCATACTACAACTACACATTTTCCTTAGAATTCTTCAAACTCATACAGTCATTTAAGTAAAAAAGATTAAGAAGTACCTAATATCTACAAATGATATAATGAAATCTTACACTGTGTTCAGAGCAAGTAATGCAAGATTTTGACATCATCATCGATAATCATCATTGATCACTGATAGTAAAGCAAGAAAATAGCATTTTAGAATGACAGAATTAAACACTGAGTTTTTATACTCACTATTTCCTTATACACTGTTTTGATGTTTTACATCAATTTTGTTGTGTAGTAGGAAAGGCAGTGCAAACTTAAACTGCCCAGGCTGTATCAAAGTGGATGGTTTCCATTTCAGGCCTAGCCTTTCAGTTATCATATTTTCAGGTCATATTATACAATGGTATGTGGCATTATGAACCAGCAACTAGGCTGCTGCAATTTTACATGAATAGATGCTGTAAAACTAGTCAAATTGAAATAGATATTATTGAAAGTTTCATCACTAAGTAATCTCCCCCTCCTTTTTTAAGCAATTAATTGCAATATGGGTTCTAAATGTTAAAATCCCATTATAATGAACACAATCAAATAATAAATTTTCAGAATACTCATCTAGAATGATTATATCAATGAAATTAGACAATACTGAAGATTTAGTACAAGACATCTTATTAAATTAATAGTTTATATTCATTCCAGATCTGGAAAAGTTACTTAAAAACTGTACAGCTCACCTACCTCATGTGCATAGTTGTTTGTTATTTCAGTAAAAGCAAAGTTGATAAAATACACAAGTCTCTTTCTGAAATGCACAACCTGAAGAAATACCTTGGTTCACTATTAGTCAAAACAAAAATGTTGGCATCCTTATGCAGAGCCATCATTTTTCATAAGAAAGCAGGCATTTTTGCAAAGTATTCATTTTTAAAAAGATGCGAATGATTTATTTTGTCCCCAGCTCAAAAAATTAGGATTTGCAAAGGATTCCCCAACATGAGGGTGCCCACATGCTTACGAAAATTTTATTCACCTTTATATCGTGGCACTCTTACAAAAGTTTCTATCTTTTCAAACAACAATCAACCTGCATGCGGATGTGGCAATTTTATGAAGGTGTACCACCAAACCAAACTTGGTGACACCTGACACTGAGTAAATATGCCAAAATAAAAACAGAATCAATTTATATAGATTTAACAGAAAAATACTTTAAATACTTAAATATATACAGCTGAAAAACCAAAATGTTCAGTCCTTTAATTTGTTACAGCTGTAAACATAAAATAATGAAAAAAAAAAAAAAAAAAAAAAAAACTACTGTTTCATGACATTCTGCTAAAAATGTAATTACATAATTTATTTTTTTGTTATTTCTAAAAAGACACAAATAAAACAAATTTTACAACTTAATTATATGTTAGAAAGTAGCAAAGAAATTGAATTGAAAAAAAAAAAAAAAAAACTTACAACATAGGGAAAACCAAGCTGCTTTTCATTATCTTTTAAAGAGTACATAGGCTCACAACATCTAGCAAGCAAGCTTTCTATTTGTTGAGGATACAAACTAGCAGCTTTGCTCACTTTAACTAGGTTTGTAAATTTTTCCTATTAAAAAAGGAAAGGAAAAAAATCAATTAACTTGGAATAAGGTCAATATTTCATTTTATAAAGAAGATAGTATAACAAATATACCTTGGGCAGATTTGGAATGAATTTAGAATCACCAAAACCTTTGTAATTGCCAGTATTACTAAATATTCCACAAGCATATATCAGAAGAGCCTATAAAATAAAATAAACATTTCTTCATTGACAAAACAAGTACAGCAGAAATGTAATTATATGAGATAAATGTGATCATCAGCTCTTAATTTAGACAGATAGTCCTTATATGCTTCACTATAATCAAAATAAGCCAAAAGATAAACTTCAGCATGGCTAACTTTTATATTTTTCACTTCATTGTCACCTTCAACATAGCTGAAATTTTTATTCTGTCTGGATCCACAAAAATTTCGTAACTCAAAACTTGAAAATTTGGTTTGCAGTTTTCTACATTTATCCATTCTAAAACATATTTGTTTTATCCTTTAAAATATCTCTATGAATTAATTGGTAGTTAGTGTTGCTTTCATTTTTAACATACATAAATCTTATTTTTCACTGTAATGCTTAACTAAACATCATTCTCAAATAATTCTATCATTAGAAAATAGACAAAATTTTAAACAAAAACAATTTTATATTTAAAAAATGCACAGTAATGGAAAACTTTTGATAATTAAAAACCTGTATGTTTGCAAAATTACCATTCTGCAGAGTTGTCTAAAAATAATACCATATCAAAAAACAAAATTTAAAAAAAAGTTCTAATAATTTACATTATGCTGATAGAAATGTATACAAAAATACCAATACATTTTTTTAATTGATTCTCATTTATTTTGTAGCAAATAGAACTGTTTTTCTTACCGTAAATTCATCTTCTGAAAAATCACATTTCTGCAAAGCTATCTGCTTCAACTCATTTAAAGGCTGTGATCGGAACAGTTTATGAAGTAAAACATATATGAGGGGGCTCTCCAATGAAGTCTAATAAATAAAATTTGAAAACATCAAAATAAATCACTTTTCTATATCTAATTACATTATATTTCATAACTACCTAACTGTACTTACCAATTTAATGACCAGTTAATTTAATGCACATACCCCCTCCCCAACTTAATAATTTTACCACAAGAAAAAGTGAGGTTTGGGTTAATTTTTTAAGCAATTGGAGGGCTATCTGCCTACGAAGATGACTTTCTATGGGAAATTGGCTCATATCATATAACATCTGGGGAAAACCACTAAAATCAACCAATGCAGCCAAATCGTTCATCAAGATTCTAACCCAGGTCAAACTACCAACGTTCAGCGATTTTACATCTCAGCTACTGGTGACCACAGAAAACTGAGACAGGGAAAATATGCAGTTTACATTCACTTCTGTTGTTTAATTTATAAGGACAAAACATACAAGGGCCTAAGGATGAGATGCCTTTGTTATAACAGAAACTGGCTTGTATTCATGTTACATGCGAGGAAAAACATGAAAAACCTCACGCAATCAGCCAATTCCCTTAGAATCATCCAACTCAGATTAAACTACAAGTGCTCAGTAGTTTTACACATTCAGCTACTGCTAAGCCTACTAAGTATTTTGGGAAAAAGATTTCAAAGATAAAACTCAGAAGATTAAAATGTACCTTAGGTTATACTGATATAGTACTATAATATATATTTTAAAGAAAGCAATTAGAGTTATTCAAAATGATACTTTTCCATTATAACCATACCTCATATTTTTGGTTCCATATTGACTTATTTATTGGATTACTCCTTTGGTTCAATTCGAGATATATAATATTCGAGATATTAATATATGGAGCATTTTCACTTAATTATTTATTTCTTTACTCCTTTGGCTCAATTCTAGATATTTTTCACTACTTTTTTTTTTCTTTGTTTAGTTTTCTTATTTACTAAGTTTCTTTTGAGTAATTTTTCCTCTTGATATATGTTAATTTCATTCATAAAACTCTCTTAGAAAAAGAGACAGAGATACATATATAACACAGAGAAATAGTTATATAATTGGTTCTTAAATTACTAAATAAAATGTACAAAACTCAATTAAAATAATTAACAAATGAAGCATTAAAAAAGGAGTCATAAGATTAAATTACAGACATAAACCAAAAAATGGTATTTAGCATAACAGAGAACATTTCTCTTTTGGAACAAATGCAATATTGCAAGAATTATATTAAATAACTGACTGTTGGCAGGCAGTGCCGCTTTGGCATTTATTGTGCCATTCTGCACTATTTTAAAAGTGCTATACATTAAGTATGACACCTAATGTATAATGAAATGACAATACTCATTTACAATGAAATATTCCAAAATATTCTGATGAAAAACAGAATAGTACAAGCAATGTTCATAAAAGATAACTCTAACCCATACACGAGTAGCATTGGCAACACATGGTGCCAAGGAAACACAGCAAAAGAAAAAAGCGGCAGATGGTAGCACCCTCAATTCTTTTTATTTCTACACTTTATATAGTTATTCATATACTGAATTATCCATATACTGGATTATGCATGTGAACAAAACACAGTGAGGTCTAACATAAAATTGCACAAATAAATTCACAGAAGGCACTTTCTACACTCTCTACAAGTAATAAAAATGCCATATTTCTGAAAAAAAAAAAAAAAAAAAAAATGGGATATTCTCTTTGCTATTAGCAGATAGACTCCATAGTGAGAATACGATTCTTTACAGGGGAAAAAAACTTCACACACTAATCACAACAAGCAGAAAACACAAACACTGCCCTTGAATTTTAAAGCCATGTGCATTATCACCATGATAAATGGTGGCATGTAACCATTAGTGGGCTGCCAGATTACATTTTCATAAAATTCTAGTTTGCCTACTTTGGTGAGATAACACTTTGCCCACAGATTCTTGTCAAGGTTGGGTAAAATAATCCAAGAGTACTCAAAAAAATATTATCTTATTATTATTAATAGCGCTACATGAAAAAAAAAATTAACATTTTCAGTAGACCTTCAAGATCTAATGCTTGAAGATGAATGAATACACCTTGAAGGGAAAACACAACATTCAAATAACTTTACATTTCATAAACATATGATGCATAAAACTTTAAAAAAATAACAGTAATTTCAGAAAAAAATAAAACTTTAAAGATCACTCTTTTGTACTACAACAAAATTTGCAAGGCTAACATTCCAAATATTTAGTAGAAGAAAATGGAAATGAATTACTAAAAATTAATACATACAAAATACAATATATATGTATATATTAAATACCTGACACAGAACAATAAGACCTCCATACCAAGAAGCCCTTGATAAATAATGAGCATACAGCTTTTCTTTCTCAGTTAAGGCTGAAAAGGCCTTTTCACAGTTTAAAAATACAATTGGTGTATCATTTGGATATGTGTAGTCAGACATTTTCTGCAAAAGAAATTTTTCATTTATCAAATAGAACTTAAATATAGAAGTTTAAAATACCATCTCTTAACAATTAAATCACAAATATTTAAGAAAAGCTACTAAAGTACAAAGTCCGAAATCCAGACTCGTCGGGACTTCGGCGATTTCAGATATTAGATCATGAGTTTAAATCTAGTAAGATGGCATGTAGCTGCTATTTTGACAATTCCGAATAATTTGTCAATTGAAATTTTCTCGTTTTCAGTATATTCTCTGTAACTTTCTTCACTTCCGGTAGCGGTATTTTCTAAATCTAGAATCATATTACAGATTTTGCCATTTATTAATTGATTGATGATTGAGAAGCATTGTCATCACAATGAAAAATTTCTTTTATATCATGTTCATTTATTACCACTTTTCCACATTTCTTTACAAAATCCGTTAACTGGAAAATTTCACCTTTGTTTGCGATATCCAAAAACCTTTAAAATTAGCGGCTATAATTATCAAATTTAGCTATCCTTTACTATACATATTTGGCTATGCATCATGAGCTTAGCGACTAATGATAAGTTGTTCTGTTAAATTTTATCTTGTTTCCATCGTGCACTGACACAATTAAGCCTGAATTGTATTAGTTATTTATTATATTTATGTCTAATTCTTGCACATGCTTAAGGCTTATCAGAGTTCTGAATAAATAAATCCCCACCATATACTTACTGCCTGAGGCTGTCTCTGTGGGTCCTAAATTCTGCGACTCGATGCGGCCATACAAGCCCTGGTGCTGGTTCTAGGTTTATGTGAATAACAAATCAGTTATTCTTAATTTAAATAGTCCTAAATGTAATCTTTAGGTCTATGAGTATCATCAACAAAATCTATTTTTAGCATATGGAAAGAAATTTTTGGTAAATTTTTCCCCGTCAAAATTTTTAGCACATTTAACTTAAATCTGTAATCATCGCCAAGCATAATGTCAACATAAAAGGTTACCATACTCCTTTATTATTCAATGACTAACATAAAAAAAATGTTTAGGCATCGCTACATGAGTCATTACTCAAGTTGTCATGTTTTGATAAACATGCGGTGATGAAAGGAAAGAATAACAAATAATGATTCGCCAGGTTGGCGTTAGATCAACGATGTATCTATGTGGAATGTTTCAGTTTGAGATGTATGCCAAGCAGATACGCAGCAACAGAGCCAAATTACTGATCGTACAAATTTATGCTAAAATGATTGCTTCTTCAATCATAAGGTATTTTATTTAGTGTCGAAGTGAAAATAAGAATCGGGACTCTACAGATGTTTTATTATGCGCGGAGGGGAAATCAAATGCGCATGCGTAAAGCCTACGAGAAAATGTTGGTGGTGGTTTTGAGGTCCAGATTTTAGATAATTCCGGATAATGGAATTCTGGATTTCAAACTTTGTACTGTAATATTAAAGTAATACACTACAAAATAAAATAAGCACGAACATAAAATATACAATACTCCTTGAACCTGATTATGTAACTGAATATAATGCATAATAAATATACATATGGAAAAATTATATATATAAATCCAGTTACACTAATTCAGTATTCATTCTATATTTCTAAATTTTTATAATTCAATTCATAAAAAGTTGAAATATGAAGAAAACAATTATATCATTGTTTAGCACTTACATACTGCTTCAGTTAATAATAATCATAAATTTTGGAAACCAAAACTAAAACAACCAGTTGAAAAGAAAAGCTATAACTCTGAAAAACCCTCCATTTGAAAACTGCACACTCTTAAAAATCTAGAATCTCAAAAAAAAAAAAAAAAAAAAAAAAAAAAAAAAATTACTTGTAACTGCTTTTAAAAAATTTCAACAATAAAGGAATTCTCAGTTGTCCATAATGGCACATATCTTCATGTTCGACATTTCAGCGAGATAAAATTTGGCCCTGATACAAAATGGCAATCATCTGCTTAGTTACAAATCATGTTGATAACCATTTTTGATTGGAGTTAAAATTTATAAGGAATTTATTTCAGAGGGATACACAGAAAACTCCATATTTTATAAAGATGTACTGATCAAGTTTCTGAAGAGAATCCAAAATATTAGGCCTGGAAAGGATCAATTCAAATAACCGTTTTCTGCTGTAGAAAAATGCAGCATCACTCAAGTCGATTCTCATCTAACAATTCCTAGCAAAGAAAAGTGTCACAATTCTTACCCACACCCCATATTCTCTAGATCTAGTACTGGTAGACTATTTTCTCTTCCCATATGAAGTCTAATTTTGAAAGTTATTAATAGCACTGAAGAGATTAAGAAAATCGTAAGCAGGGATTTTTATTAATAAGAATTAAGAATAAAGACAATTAAGAATATTCTAAAAGGCGAGTTAAACAAAGGAATCGAGCATTTTTATACGAATGTGCCGAGTGTTGCCCACTTGATACATTCACAAACTCACAAGGACTGTATCAAGACTGGTCAGACTTTTATTTTCTTCAGCTTTTGATTTGGTATGAACTTAGGCATAAAACTTTGCACAAACTGCATATATACTAAATAAATTTTGTAAATATTAAGGAATTGTTTGTGAAAACAAGGAATAGAATAGCAGAAAATGCTTATGAACATTTTCCTTCTCTTGCCAAGACTGTGTTCCTCTATCCTTGCTAAGGCTACTACAAAAAAGGAAATGCTAAAAATATTTATTGAGGGCAATAAAGTTTTTCAAATACCTTTACACCTAACAAGGTTTATTAAATCCTTTGATCATTTTGCCCAAAAAGGAGAGAGGAAAAAACTTGCAAGTCATTTTTTAGTTTTTCTGAAATGTATTCACTATTATGAAATAGATTTCTATAGAATGTTTCTAGATTCTATGAAAATTATGAAATCTTTGAAATGAGTTAGTTGTTTAAAAAAATCATAAAATACTTGTCTTCATGAATAAAACATAAATACATTGTTACAATTTAAAATACTATTAAACTATTTAAAGTCCTTTACCTTTCGTGCCTTAGAAAAATTCCTACAATTTGAAACTACAGCTTGATTATAAGTAAGTGACACAGATTTTTTCCCCACAAAACATTTACCTGTAGATAATGAAGGTAATACTTTTCTTGGAAATCTATGAAACTTCTTGAATATCTCAATTAAATTATTCCTCATAAGCTACAATTTAAAAAAAATCCAAGTTGAAATATTTATATTAAAAACATAATTACAGTTTTAAAGTTAAATGAATAAAGACTGCATGAACTTGTAAAATGGGAGATACACAGATACTGTATAAAGTACTTTTAAAAATTTATAAAATTAAATTTAAAAAAATTATATATATGTTAAACATACATATATAATTAAATGAACAAATATATTTGAAACAGAAATGACAAGTTGGATGCTTTTGCATAGAGAACAACATGAACAATCAACTTAAGTTTTAGCATTGTTGGCTTGTTCACCTCTCTTAGATACTGAACTCACTCACTGATATATCACAAAGACTTTCTGTATGACAATATTTTCAGCATCTCTATGCCACAAATACACTTACAAATATCCATGCCATAATCCAAACCCTGATATTGGTACCACGGTTATGGGAGCTTGGCCCCCCTAACATTATGCCAATAGTAAGGCCTATGTTGGAACTGGCAATTTTGAGTGATCTGCATATGAATTATACAATGATAGTTAAGATATTTATTTTTGGGCATCAATAGGAGTAACTGTTATATATTATCAATAAGTATTGAAACTTATTATAAATCTTTTTATTTTAAGGCTATTGTGCATATTTAAACCAGGCCTTAATTTCCAAGATTAGATGTGCCGAAGCCCTATGGGGAAAGTTCTCGGGCATTTTTATGTGTGTGTGTGTGTGTGATTATGGCAAAGCCTCGAGGGCTATCTGCCTAAGGGGAGGGATGCCTTCGTGGAGGACTTTCTAAGGGAAACTGGCTCGTATACACGTTACACATGGGAAAACCACGAAAACGCCCATGCAGCCAGCCCGTTCGCGGGATTCGAACCTCGACCGAACTACCAGTGTTCAGCGACTTTACCGCTCGGCCGCTGGTGGGCCAATGGAAAGTTCTCGGGAAAGAAGAAAAAATAAAAAAATTAATTTAAATAATAACATAAAATAAAAATTTAAAATAACATAATTATTAGTAATTAAACTATTATATAATTAAAATAATAAAATAGATAAACCATTAAATATTAAATAACTCAAATTTAAAAAAAACATGAAGACAAATAAAAATGTAATTAATTACTAAATTAATGGTATAAAATTAAGTACTAAAATAAAATTCCAGACCTTGTCTTATTTGGGGCTGTGGCTGAAATTGCAATTTTTCAAGAAGAATTACGACATAGCTCAATTAAATATTTATGCGTCTTTTTAATTTGAAACCTTCCCAGACATTTTGACTAATTTATATCGATTTCCTTCTCTTTAAGCATCTTTTCTAACAATTAGAAAGTTGTCTCAATACACAAAAGAATGTTTTCACTAGTTTCTGCGTGTTTTATCTCCTAACCTGTCCACAATGTACCTATGACAGTTTATTTGATCTGGTAAAAGTTAAATAGACCAAAACCCATCAACAGATATGAAGCAAATTATCTCTATGTCTGCAAGTAACTACAATGTCCGACAAAGATTTAAATAAGCTTCTTATTTAAAAAGAACTTAAGAAAATAAAGGCATGTTCTTATGCTAACAAAATCAATTACAGCTGGCTCAATAACTCTATCATCATAACAAACTCAAATACTGGAAACGGTAATGCAAAGACGAATAATTACAAAATATCAGAGCTGGCAGGAACTAATGCAAGGAGCAAGTGGAGGTCAGAAACACACTCCAAATACCTCAGTTTAAAAACTGTCTAAGTGATTTGCATTCTAGTGAGAAAATAGAAATGGGAAATTATAGTAAGGGCTGAAATCGTAAACTATTAAGTAATTTACATAACAATAACTGTACATATCTTTGAAGAATAATTATCTTTTTCTGTATGTATTCAGTTTCTTTCTTCCAAGTTTCATTTTCATTTTACAAATTTTGGATTAATTAAAGATTTTTGATATTCTAAATAAACTATATGCATTTAGAATGTATAGAAAAAGCTGATAACTTTATTTCTTTCGTAATACTATGAACATTCAGAAGAAATATGAAATACATATGGTAAGGTTTGGTTAGAGAGTTGATGTGGCATAATTTTTAGAGTTCAGTGACACACTGAGCAATAAAGTATAGAAATGGCAAAATTTTAGAATTTAGAACAGACACTGGAAGCAGAATTTAACACAGAGATTGCATTAGGTGGGAAAATGCCTAGTGCTAGCCCTGTGTATGATGCATTAAGACATATTGGATGAATCTTTTAAATTGTCAGTTTTCAATTTCTTTATTAATAAAGGAATTCCTTTCTATAATGCCTGTCCATATAATAAGATTAGAAGCATTTTTGACATTTTCCATGTTTGTGTCTAGTGAAAAGTATAAAATGTAAAGGGAAGATAAAATTGTTAAGAAAAAGATTCTGGTATCAGAAGTAAAACATTCAACTATAATGTTTTCATTGTTCTTCCAGATGTTCTCCAAAAAGTAAGAAATTACGTGTTAATACTATGGAGACATTTTTCATTTTGTCTCATTTTTCTGGAATCTCCTAGAATCGTGAGCCTATAAATCTTGCCTTCATATCTTTCTTAACTTTCAAGCTGCAATGTCTAAAATCCTAAAAAAAATTACCCCTACCAATTCTGTAACAGCATAAAGCAAGAAATGTTTTGAAAAAAAATCAGAGGAAAAAAGTGCAAAATTAATTTTATAGACAAAAACAAGGCTTAATTTCTAAAATTATATGTGCTGGAGCCTTGTGGAACACTGTCAGGAAAGAGGTACAACAATAAATAAATAAAAATGATTAATAAAATCACTAATAATTAAAAAATTAAATGTTAATTACTAAAATAATTCAATAATTAATGCTTAAAAATGTTACTATGCTCTAAAAAAAACTGTCAAAAAATTCCTAGATCTCGGAATTAAAAAATTTTCTATAGAAACAGATCTTAAAACTGCCAAAATGTTTATAAGTTGCTAAATTTAGATCAGTTTAATTAAAGAATTCACATTGCAAAAAACGAAAAGTTGTTTAAGAGCTTTTAATTAGAAACAATTAAATAATTTTGAAATGCTTATGTTTACTTCTTGTTCAGAAACTCGAGTATCCCATCTATTAGAAATAGGAACAAATTATAACCCATGATAACCATATTTGTCAGCAGATCGCCAAAAATATTTCTCCAAAAGACAGAGATTTCAGATGATTAAAATTAAGTACTATCTGCCGATTTTGATCGAAATTAAGGACCAAAAATTGATTCCAAAACACTTAAGGACTGTACGAACCCTGCTTAGTTATGTTAGGAATGCTGATACGATTTTCTACTTCTAATACATCTTCAGAATTTATGAATAAAGTTCAATGCAATGAGTGCAATGCATTCCTTGACAAATCTAGCTTTGTCATTTTTAAAATTTCTTTTTAATGTATATGATTTATCTTTGAATATTACAGCTGGATGACCACATAAGGTTTCTATAAATTCAGGATTACATTTTAAACATAGAGGAATGAAGAATATCAAGAGACAAATTAAGAATATTCATATATAACTTGAAAATAGAACTGCATTTCATGCCTGTGGATCATTTTGAAATTACTTTCCAACAATTGGTGTATTGATTATTAATTTGAACTGGCATTTATAGCATAATATTCTCTGTCTCAACAAATAACCCTCTCAACAATGACTTTCTGAAAAGGGGATGAATTGGGTAAAATTCAGCCTTCCACTTGTAAAGGCACTAATGAGGAAGATGAGAGAGGGCAGCAAATGAAATGGATATGATTTTATCAGTCAGGGTTACTGATAAGAGGATAGCAGCTGATAAACAGTCCAATTTTTACCCCAGGGTGAAAGCAGACAAAACAGGGCATATTAGTAACAAGTTACAGAAAACAAAGGACTACACATTCATATTTTCCTGAGCAATAAGCCAAGCAATTAAAACTGATAATGTTTCATGTACAACTATTAACCATGTAAAAAATGAACAGAGGGAAGACAAATTTTCAACTACTGATAAACACTGGCCTCATGAATGCACATAGTTGTTGCAATCAATGACTTTAGTGAGTTCATAGTCAAAAATACAATCCATGAATTTTACACCAAAAGATGATTGCACATTTGTGCAGAAATATTGCTTATTTTAAAAGACCACATAAATAAGATGCATGGAAAGAAGAATTTGAACAAAATTTTACATTGTATTTACACTAATTAAAGCATGCAAACACCTATCATATTTTGAAGAAAACACACATACATGTTCAGAAACTTTTATGCAATATTAAAACGAATCAAAATGAAAAAAAAAAAAAAAAAAAATTATTACGCACCTAGAAGAAACATGGAATAACACATATATAAGTTTTCATACAGGTTGGCACTAAAATGACAATATCAGCATGAAACAGATTAATGTTCCAATGAAACCAATGATCATGCTAGTGGAATATGATGCTTTTTCCCAAACGGAATACTTATAATTGAGAAGTATAAAAGGCAAATATCATGGGCAAATGGAATTAAAAATTTTGATATAACAAAAAATTTTTAACTCCATATGACAAAATTATTCCAAACATACCACCAACTACAAAACATTAATTAAAATCTGAGTGGTGACTGAAATTTTCATTTTCAAATATACAAACAGAAATCTTCAGCACTGCACGAGCATTTTTTTTCTTAGAAGTGCATACACATGTAAAAAAAAAGTACATAGGTATGTTACCCCCCTAAAGTAGATTGCCTTAACTAATGAAATAAAAATGTTTTTGACTATATAACCAATCCTAGTCAATGCGCATACGCTGATAGTTTTAAAAAGAAGTGGAAAAAGAGCTCAAAAAGGTGTATTTTAATATATCCTATTATAAACAATAGATATAATAGATAAAATCTTTAAAATACGAAAACAAAATTTCAAATACACTAATTTACAGTTATTTTATTAAAAATTTTACTTCGAAAAGACTATTTATACTTGATTAATTAACAAATACGTTACAAAGCGTGAACGTTAAAAAAAAATTACACAGCAAACATTAATATTTAGCTCACAGATTTTTTAAATAAGAGCTCCTTATTGTATCTTTGCCCATTTACTTGGATATACTAAAACAAAGCAATCGGAGAAAACTACAGAATAAAATTCAAGTTTGATTATCGCTATGTCATGCTATATCCAACCGGTAAGTATCTGAAACACATACACCCATTACTAATTTAAATTTAAAAAACACTTTTATCCAAATCAATCAAATAATTAAACTTTCACATAAAAGCAGCATCAATAATTTTAAAAATAATGCCAGTAAATGGGTAAGAGATCTAAAAAAGCAGCTTATAATAACAATACCATAAATCACGTTCCTGTGACACTGACAAAATCCCTTTTGCACAGATTAAACCGGAGAGTTTCCGTTTGGCAGACGCAAAGGCTCAGTAAACGTGACTTGGAGACCGGCTTTTGGAGGTCCAGAAATTACCCCGCGTCAGCTTCACATTACTTAACAACATTTTGTTTCTAGTCAAATTTAATTCAACATAATAAATTTTAATACTTCAATACTAAGATGCTTAAAAATGCTTCAAGTATCTCGGATTCTTTGCACAGTTGCAATCAAAGCCCTTGAATCAATTTTGGCTGCAGTAAAGAGCGCTGAGTACTGGTAATTCCAACGGGGTCATTTAGATTTCATTAGTTCAAACCCAAATGAATAGGCTAACTGCATGGGAGTTTTCAAAGGGTATTAGAAATGCACAGATATAATGTCTGTATTATGCTGTATAAAGAGTGTGAAGCCTGGGAATACAAATGAGCCCTCTAAGTGAGGGCTAGAAAACGTTGCTCTTATTAGCGGAGTGAGACTAAAACTTCCGCTGTTTTCAAGTTTCCGGAGACTGTCATTAATTTAAAGGTTTACGACTTACGAAGGCCTTTATGAGTCCCTATCACGTAGATCTAAGGCAACAGTTGTTGAAAAAATGCAAACATGACGTGTGAGGCCATGCGCATGTTAATTGTGAAAAAATATAATTCCTTCAGTTCAAATCAATCCGTCACAACCTAGGCAATCCTGCAATCTACTGCTCGGCTATTCTATCCAAGGAAGTTAGAATAGACCTCCTTGAATAGAACCTGTTCTAACCTCTTTAGTTCTATGATGTCTAGAAAAGGAGGTTCTCATCAGTTTGAGTCGTTCTGAGAGGCTCATCATCAGTCTAATGGCTTGAAATGCAATTATAAGCTTTTCCGTGAGATTTTTCGTTCCATGAGATTTCGTTGCAAGATAATCTCTATAATTCTTCGAAGGAAGCTTAAAATGCTTTTATTCTGGAAAATTTAGAAAATAGGGTCGAATTCTTTATGATTTGGTAGCATTTCACTATAGCACTTTAGCATTTCACTATAACTGGAATTCTGAGAATTATGATTTTAAGCAATTTTAGCATTCAAGATGGCCATCATGCTAGAGATGGGTTTCTTCTTTTCTTCGTTTTTCTCAATATTTGTGATCCTTTTCTGGTACTCGGGCATCCGTAATAAGAACTAAAGCTATCTTGGTGGCAAAATATAGATTTGGCAAAATATACGTCTGGCTTTCGACACCCATGTAGTCATCCATTTAAGGAGTGTGTGTTATTCAACTGGCGTTTTGTCGGCCATGAGGAGAAAGAGACAAAAAATAATACTCACTCGCAATTAGGATGTCTTCTGTCCGAAACGATGCTAAACCTCGAATGATAATGATATTTCAAATTTTGATTAAGTTTCCGCAGTTGTGAGCCAAGATGCGACGAAACTAAAAAGTACTAAGCTCTTAAAGTTGTAGAGACATTAGGTTATTTTCGATGTCAGGAAGCTGAAAAATGTGCAATGCTTTCGCCGGGACTCGAACCTGGACCTCTCGAATAGGTCCCGAGTGTGCTATCGAAATCACTTCACTCACATCTGAACTGCCAAGTAATCATGAAGTAAAAAGAAATTTTGATACTTCAGAAGATAAATTAAGACAAAATAACACGCCAAATAAATACTAATTCAGAAGTCAAACAACAAAAATCAGCGTTATATTTACAAAATTTTCACAGGACTAGTTTCGATGGTTTTACCGAACCACCATCCTCAGCTGCAAAACCTCAAATGAACAAGATAGCGGTTTTGCAGCTGAGGATAGTGGTTCGGTAAAACCATCGAAACTAGTCCTGTGAAAATTTTGTAAATATAACGCTGATTTTTGTTGTTTGACTTCTGAATTAGAATGAAGATAAAGTTTATGAAATAAAAAATATTTCATTATTTTTTCTCTAAATTGGAAAGAAAATGTTTAAATAATTTTTTTTTAAAAATGAAACTATAGTATTATTACTGAGATGTGTGTGTTGTAAACGTTTTTGCAGCTCTTAATTTAGCCGATTTCGAGTGGCAATACTTTCTTAGACGTTCTCCTTTTTCGAAACCATGGCTGCCGTAAGTATGGTGATGTGTTACATCTGAATAATCCTTTGCAATTTGTCATGAAATATGTGTTTTATAGATCTTCAGTAAACTACAAAATATTTCTAAAATTTTTGAAATTTATTATTTCAGACACTATACACTTTCGAAAACAATTTCCGCTCCCAGAAGATATTGATTGCAGCACAGTATAGCGGCTTTCCCATCAATGTGCCGAAGGATTTTGTCTTGGGAGAAAGCAACAAAACTGAAGATTTTCTGAAAAAATTTCCAAACGGGAAGGTAAAAGAAAAATTCGTGTCATCTATTATGAAATATGTTGATTACATATAATCGTTTTGTTAAGATTACAATCTTTATATTTCAAAATAACAAAAATCTGTTAAACCTGTGACAAATATCTGTGAAATGTAAAATTTTCTTAAGAAAATTTACAATTTTTATTGAATTGTATTAAACCTTGTATGTTTTACGTGCATTTAAGATATCTTTTCATACTGAGTAAATTGCATGTAATGTTGATTTGCGTTTATCTCATTAAGCTAAATAGGTTAGTTTTAGTCTTTGCTTAACGAATGTGTGGCATCATTGTAAATAACGTGGAATAATCATATAGGACCTGCATTGATGGAAGGTGATCTTACATCGGAGTAAGATATTTGCGCATTACATCGTTGCATTTGATTTTGGGGCCTTTTTTTTTTTAATATATGGGAAATGCTTCTTTGTGTTGCCAGATCAGAATCCTTTGATAAGTTCTTTGTTTTCCCCTTCTGTTTTGACGATGTTTTAACATTTTTCTTGGAAAAACTGCATCAAATAAATGTGTTTATATTAAAAATACAGCAACTATTTTAGTGAAAATCAGTGCTATCCAATTTATCCTCCTAACAAAGGCATGTTCTAACTTAATAGTAGATCGTGTAACAACAGGAGGAATAGTATTCAACAAATTTGAATTTGTTTTCTCTGTCTAGTGGAAACTTTACCAGTTTGTTAAACAAAGTATTTCTTTGGTATTCCTATAGAATTAGTTTTTGGTATAAAATGATAAGCTTATAATAAAAGTGGTCGTATATGCATATGTTTTACAAGTTAATGACACGAACTTAAAAGTAGCATTGATGCAGAGAGATTCTAGCAGTTGTTGAGGCAAATTTAATATTTAATTCCTTGAGAGCCATTTTAAACTTGAATTGCAAAGTGATATGAGTGCAATCTGCATGCCTACTTTTAATCACATTTTTTCCTTTTAGATGTTGTTATGGTGATATAGTTCATAGAAAAGAGGGAAGTAGCATCATATTTGCAAGAGTAGAAATGCAGCATGTCGAAAAGGAAGTTTGGCACAAAATAATTTAATTTCATTTCAGTTTGTTTCCACTGGTTAATAATAAATTTTTATTCCCAAATTTGAAATAATAGATGAAGTATTATGCAAGCATATGCATCACAAGTAACTCCTGTTTTGAATGAGACCATCTAGTTTTTAAGCAACCTGTTCTCTTGTCAACCGTCATAGCTTCGTGATGCCTAAATGTCCAGTTTTCAGAAAGAGCAGTCTGTGATAATCAAAAAATAGCATAATAAATCCAAACATTTCACACTAGTTCTGAATAGTGTAGAAATGGTGGAGCATGTGCAATACATGCAAGTTGGTTGCTGCTTGATTATGAATATGTGTAATCAGCTCATGTTTTCAACAGTGAATTATGTCCTTTTTTTTAATGCATGTCAAGTGAGGAACTTTTCATTTAACTTTAAGGGAATCAAAATTTACATAAAAAATTGGGAAATTAATAATTTAATAAATAAATGTTGAGTATTTATTTATTTTATAAAGCACTTCTTTCATTATAAGTTGTTTTAAATTGCTTTATTTCTTGTGCTAATAATTTGCTTAATTTTATAGACAGCTATAATTTCTTGTTCAGTTATAAAATTCCACTGTTCAAATCCTATAACTGCTGTGTCGTACTTTCTGTGTAATTCCATGGACAGACATTATTCCTTGTTACAAAGTTCTAAGTCCTGTAACTGCCAGATTGAGAAATCCCACTAAATTGTTAATTGAAACGTTTTTCCCTCCCAACAGCATCTATGTAATTTTCTTCACTATTGGGAGTGATATTTTCTGGATTTAGAACCATACTACAGATTTTACCAACTGTTAGTTGATTGTCAGTACAATGGAAAACTTCTGTTAAATCATCTTAATTTATTACCACCTGCATGTACTTATAGCTTGTCTAAATAAAAGTTAATTTTTATTAATTCAAACAGCACTAAATTTGGTCTCTATCATTTATAAAAATCTATATTTTGGGTATAGAAAAGGATTTCTGTTAAATTTCTCCTTGTTAATACAGTCAACACTTTGCAATGCAGTTGGTCAAAGTGTCTAATTATCACCAAGCTTAATGCTGATTATTACTATGGTATTTGGTAACAAAAATTGTTTTAGGCATTGCTTAGTTTTTCTCAAGCTCAGCATCACCAGATTGGCTTCAGGGATACAAGATACTCAGTAAATGTTAAATTGGTGATGACAGGTATAATCAGGTAGAAAGTTTTAATTTCAACAAAAAGAAGCTATGAAAGCAGAAAGGTGGCTATGAAGTACAATTATTAATCGTGCAAATTTATGCTAATAAATGACTGTTTTATTCACTGCCCAAGTAAAGTTAAGAATCAGGACCCTCTATATTCTTTACTATAAAAAGAAATATTGCTGATGGTCCAGAGGTCTAGAAAGTAGATTATTCCAGGTATTAGACATATGGATTTTGGACTTTGTACTGTTTCTTCCTCATTATGTTTGTAATGTAACATCTTGAATGCCGCATCACTCTCATTTGGATGACAGTAAAAATTATGATCGTCTCATCTTCTGTATTCGTTCGACACTCCTTTCAATACTTTTGAGTTAAACTAGGTATTTAAAAAATTTTTTTGTTGCCGATAGCTAAATTCATTCATTAAATTGAATTGTGCTTTCTTTGGTATCAATTTTTCTTTCTTCCTAAATAACCAATTCTTGTGAAATATGATTAGTAGTATCTTCACATTTATTATCACCGCATTTATCAGCATCGGAACCTAAGAAAAATCTTGGCTATTCTTCATAGCTAGTATTCAAATTTTTTTAACTTTTAACTATGAAAAGAACATAACAGATTTCTTTAAAAATAACTTCTATTTTTCGTTTAGACACCACAAAATATTAGAGCAACAATTTTAACAAATAAAAAAAAAGTTTACCATTCTACAGAAAAAATATTGAAAGAAGAAATAATTTTCAAATCTTGCACGATTTCTTAGGTACTTTGTTCTTGCGGAAAGATTATCAACGGAATGAATGTCCCAAAATGTTTTGTTTTAGACATTAGAAACTTATTGTCAGAAAAAATTGGCTCATTATATTGTATTGTCCATGGCCTGATGGAGATTTTCTTGCAAACTTGAATTTGAAAGAGCTGGAATTCAACATGTACTGAAATGCCTATCTCTTGTGTATTTGCACATACCTGGGCTTAAAAGAGATTTGCGTGTACTGAAATAGGCATCTTCTGTGCATATGCACGTGTGGTGATGGCGATAAGGAGCGCGCCTTGCGCCCTTCGATAAGTGTGGCAACCCTAGAGGAGAAGTTTCTTACGAGTAGCGAGCAGAGCGAAACAGGCAGGCTGTCGGGGAGTATGCGCGATGTTCCTAAATAAAGCTTAATTTTTATTGTGCACTATGTCTTGTTAATACTTATATTAATGCAGTAAGAACACGATCTGTGATATGGAATGCGAGCATTGGTGGTAAAACATACAGGTAACAACATGATAGGAATCACCATAATGGTGACTTGGAACTGTGCTTTAAATCAGGCCGTATGAACAGTTCTCAAGCACTTTCGGTTTTGACTACAAGGCCATCACTCAAGATCTCCAAACCAGAAGTAATGGATTACATACCGTTTTTCATCCTCTGAATCACAGATGAGTAGTAATTATAGATCATTTTATAATTCTTGTTTTCCTACTTATCATTTAATTTCATTTTCTTTAGTTAAATTTTTGCTTTTATTTTGGCTTAAAAACCTTGCACAATGTCTGATGTTCATGTCCGTCCAAATTCCGGTTTTATAACCGATTAGACCCATCTTTATGGTTTATTATGTGTGAAAGTATCTTTGCTCTTGCCACCACCCCCCAAAGCTATCACAGAACCATTACTAAATATAATTATTAGTTTCTCATCTTCCTCCAGATATCGCATCACTAGTACGGGATTTACTTATGAAACCAGACCCTATTGATCCATATACAAAGCTCAAAACTGAGTTAATAAATCTTCAGGAGAATCTTCTCAGCAAGAAATTCGCCAATTATTATCTGGAGAAGAATTAGGTTTTCGAAAAACCTTCCGATTTGCTTAGAATATGAACGTCGAGCAGAATCTTTAAATGTTCCTGATTCCTGATACTTAATGTTTAGAATTATTCCTTCAACCGTTTGCCTTCGACTGTTCAGTCTATTTTTGGCAGCGGTTTTCCAATTTAACCGTAGATAAAGCTGCAGAAATTGCCGACAGAATTTTAGAAGTAAATCCAACCCCAGGGACTTGTGACGTTTCTCGCACAGTTGATCAGTCTCTTGAGGATAAATTATTTAAACAAATAGAAAAATTAAACAAACGTATTGATCGCATTTCTCTTTCTCGTGGTCGCTCGCCAAATCGCGGAGATCGCAATAAGGAATGAAGCAATTCCAAAAGGACTGATTATTCTGTTTGCTGGTATCATAGACGTTTTGGGAAAAAGTGTAGACATGACAAATGTACAAAACCCTGTTCATGGCAGGGAAACGAAACCAGCAAAGAATAGAGGCGACTTATTCTTTGCCTCAAGTTTCACGTCGCCTGTTCGTTCGTGACCGTAGAACAAACCTTTCATTCTTGGTCGATACCGGCTCTGACGTGTCCTTCCAGCAAATAATTCTCAAAAACGGAATTCGTCCCAACAAACACTTTTCGCTGCTAATTCTTCTACTATTCATGTTTATGGTCAAAAAACACTTTCTTTGGATTTAAATTAATACGACAGTTTACATGGACTTTTCTTATAGCAAATGTTAGTACACCCATTCTTGAAGCAGATTTTCTCCATTTTCTTTGAATTGGTGCCTGATCTCAGAAACAAATGTCTCAAAGATTTAAAATCGCATTTTAAAACCATCGGTTGCGTGAAAAATGCAAGCATTTATTCAGTAAAAACTGTATTTAGTGATACACCATAGCACAAAAATTTTAAAAGAATTTCCTTCAGTTACTAGGTTACCAGATCCTAACCAACCTGTTAAACACAACACCGTTCATTATATCATAACTAAAGTTCCACCTGTGTTGCAAAACCTCGTCGGTTAGCTCCAGATCGCTTAAAAATAGCAAAACAAGAATTTCAAACTATGATGCAATTGGGGCATTTGA